AAATTCACTTCACTGCAAAAAAGTCTTGGGTCTGAAGTCTGCTCAGCATAGGCCTTTCTGACTGTGGTTTGCATGTTCTCCCCGTGTCAGTGTAAGTTATCTCCAAGTGCCCCGGTAAAAAACTTGTGCAATGGCCCCTGTCACATCCCTGGAGACTCCTGTTGCTGGAGACTAATGGGGGTCATAAATAAATAAAACTATAAAATCTATGTGAAATGGCCGGGGTACGGACCTGTGTGGGTATAGTGTCTCTGCAGACCTCTTGAGGCTGCACACATAGATGAACGTGCACTGGCTCTCAGGTAAGTCGGGTGATACTCAGCAGCAGCTTGTTGGCGCCTGAGGGTACAATGGGTTATGTCTCTACAGCTCGGGGCCAAAGTCGTGGAGGCAGGAGAGAGATGGCAACTGCACATGGTGTGGCTCTTGTCAAACAACCAGATGAAGAGTTTAGACATGACCGACACGCCATTAATCACAAGAATCTCTGGTGGATCTGCTTGCTCTCACCGAAACAATCCAAAGGGCTAGACCACTGCAGAATAGTCGTGGGAATGTGCATAGAGTGTCTGTGTGTTTAATGCGACACCCGGTCTGCCTCTTCATTATTGTCCTGCTCCGTCTGTCGTCCTGGCTCTTACTGGATAGCACCAGGCCCTCTGGCAGATTCCTCCATGACAGGTACAGAGATAGAAAAGCTCTCCGTAGGAAGCAAATCTGTCACTGTGCTAACTAAAACATGTCAGTGGTAGGTAAGGCCGCGTGGAGTGCAGTCGAGTACAGAACCAATTGGAAACCAAGGCTGCATATGACCAATACTTTAATTTACAGCTTTATAGAAGGAAATCAAAAGGCATTGTTATAGTCTTGCATGGGAGTGAACAAGAATTAAGACATGTGTGTATGCGTTAGAAGGACCTCAGGGAAACTGCATATCCTCTCTGGACTATGAGGCACACCTGAGTCTCCCAGCTGTCCCACTTTCAGATCCACACACCCTACTCCTTGTTTATCTATGTTACTGTTGGAAGTTGTAAGGATGTGATAAAGGAATTTGGGGTTTTGCACTATTTGCTCAAATCAATTTAAATAAATAATAGCTGAAATATTTTGTATATATATACACTTTTTACACTTCAAGCCTTTATAATCCAGTGCAGTTTTCTGGAATATTTTGGTTTTGTCATTTGCATAAAGTTTCAATAGCATCATTTGTCAAAGTATCTTTTGAGCAATATATTGTGCAAAACAAACGGTGCCTGATTTTATAACCAGAAATGATGAAACAATGTAATAGAATTGTGTGCATATAATGTTGGCCTCACACATCTTTATATCAGTTTTTCAGACAAGAAACTGAAACAGAGGACCACCCTCACTCAGCCAATCAACTCAAGTATGCAAAAGATATATTTTCTAACAAGGTCAAAGAAGACAGAAGGTTGTCCTATTTGTTCTCAGCATTTAACTTTGGCAAAACTATTTCTGTTGAGACAAAAGACATGTAGGATTTATGAACAAAACATAAAGTTATGTACTCCAGCTTTATTGAATGTGCTGTCACAGACAGTATATATAGAAACGTGAAGCTCTGTCCAGGAGGTTGTATCAGAGTGTCTCTACAAAAACAGCTAAGACTCCACCACAAGCACAGCAGTATGAAATTCCATATAAGGCAGGGGACTGTCTCCAACCTCCTCCTTCACTCCAGCGCCCCTCTGCCCCACACTTCTCCTGTTGCAGCCAGCTCTCTCAAAACTGAATCTACACTGAAGACACAAGTTTATCTTAGAATTCTTTGACAATAATCAAGAATTATTCTAAATGTGAAAATAAAAAAATGATTCTTATACATATATTTTTTTAAGCACAGACTTGTGAGCCACAAATGTTGATGCTTATCATTACAATAAAATCAAATGTATTACTTGAAGTTAGAAAAACACATACTATGTATTGTATGAATAAAGCTGTCAAAACCAATTCAGCAAACTGGAGCCATTCCTTTGGTCTGAAATGATGACAAAAGTGGGCTGTCCCATCTATTCCCATAGTATAATTCACGTAATTCAGAACAAAACAATGTGTGTAATATCAGCAAAATGGTGCGTCAGTGTTGCAGCAAGGGTGAGGCGCATATGTATTGAAAACAATTGATCCTTGTTATTCCGATGGGAGAAGATGAGGAGACCCAGAGAGGATGGAGATAGGATAGGAGAGTGATGAGAGAAAACACAAACAGCTCTGATAAGACTCCAGGGCAGAGGATGTGTAATTCCCAGCGACGGTCCCAGTGGAATCCCCAGTGTCCCGCTCCTGCCTCTGCTGCAGGATGCGTCCTCGTGTGGGAATACTGTGGGAATACGCCCGGAATGTGACTCCTTTTGTGTAGTGTATTGGGACTGTGGCTGTCACTTGTGGGGGGGTTACAGGGTGAGACAAGGGCCGCATCAGATGTATTACTAAACACGGATTAAAGCTGAGGTATCTAACTTACGTTTCAGAAATAATGTTGAACAATCAAAACAATATGCAGTCTTTATCATTAGAAAAAAGTCAACAATTTCCTGTAAGCCACTAGTTGACACTTTGGGCGGAGAACTGATTGGCTGAATGAGGGTGGTTCTTTGTCACTTTTCAGTCTGATAAAGTCAGTCTAAAGCAGTGACAGGGACCAAGAAAATACATGTTTACACTTTAGTGATGTATCCAAACCGTTTTGAGAGCTGGGTTACTTTGATGATTATATTTTTTTTCCTAGTTCTATTTTTGTGGTATGAAAGTTAGATACCTCAGCTTTTAACTCTGAAAAGAACCTGGATTAAATGAGGACTGGAACTGCATAAACCATGGGCACGTTCACACTTGATACGGCTCACTTTAACTGCACCAACTCTGGTTCACTTCGGGCAAAAATGCTTTATTTGTGGATAAACTAAATGGAAACAGTGTCAAACAGTGAAACAGATCTATGAAGCTTTTCCCCCAAATGAACCAGACCAACAAGTGTGCACATTACGTACTTGTCCTCACACATTGTCCTTCCAACTATCACTTAAAAACAATGATTCATATTGTGAACTGCATCACTGCAATTACAACATGCAAAGCCCTACCTCTTGATTAACATATCCATTTGCAAGAGCCTGCTAAAATGTTCCACATGAGTCATTTATAGCAAAAAAGAAAAAAACAAAGCAAGATTGTTTATGTAAAAAGACCAACGTCATTCAAACTCTGGCCTCTTACGTAGAACAACCACGGCTTCGGCTGGAGGCTACACCCCACACTTACGGCACTGTACCTTTTACAGCAGAAGATGACCATGATTTCTTTATGAGAGCTCTCAGCAGACAGGGAGGCACGGACAGGACAAAGTGAGGTTTATTGAACCAAGACAGCTTCAGTGATTTAAAAAATGATCATTTTCAATCAAAGCAAAATTTGGATAACCATCACTTATAATGAAATGGCATTGAAATATTGAAACAAAAGACAATATAACGCGTTAAACATTGGAAGAAGTACAAAATAACAATACTTTGAAACCATTACCCCAATAACACATGTGATCAATATGCTTTTTTGTGGATTCATTTGAATACTTTTTGAGTTCTTTGGTTGTAAGTTTACACATATTAATATTTCTACAAATGAAATATTGAAACTGTGCATGTCTGTCAGTCCTTTGACACATTGGCAAGTGCTAAGAGACACACATCTACAGAGGTTCAGAGGAAACCCGCTCCCTGTATTATTAATGAGAAGTTTAGTGCATAGATTTGCCATGTCAACTCAATTACCAGAAGAACCTATCACTTTGACAGCAAACGTCAGGCTATACACACTCTAAATAGACTGTAGCCAAATAAGAGGGTACAGTGCATGTCCAAGTATACTGCGATGACAAATAATGCCAGTGCAAACAGTTGTCAAGGACTGACAGACACTGAGTGCTTTTCTATGACAGTTTTCACGTAGTTTTATTTTCTGGCTGAAGTCAGACAGACGCAACTATAACATAAAATGCATTCAGGGCCAAGCTTGAAACTGCCATGATGCTTTGATAAAGGGGAAAATATATCACAAAATGTTATATGTTTTTTCTAGTGTCGTTATAAAATCAGTAACTTCTTGTGTGTTTCAAAGGAATCTGTAAAACCTAAAAAAAATTAACCACAGTATTATCAGAGGGAGTTTGGGACACATTACCAAAAGTGATTGAAGATATGCATTGTCTTGAAATTCAGCTAGCAGTACAAAATCCACTAGTATCTGTATTATATTGTCCATGTTGTCAGAAGTCACAGTACAATGTTACATTCATTTCACCTTCAAACTTGTGTATGAACTCTACAGCAATGCTTCCTGGGTAGTGTGAACTTTGCCTTTGTCTGAACATAAAGCTAGAACCGGGCGACACAGCGGTCAGTCACACAGGAAACTGAGACTGCAGACAATCTCACATCCTGCCCAAGCGCTGGACCAAACACTTCCTCCTTTTTGAGCAGCACGTACAATCGTGTGTACAGTGGCAGTGGTAGAGCGCTACAAGATGACAAAACGTGGGCGGAAATTGACAAAAAGCTTGGATAAACAACAAATGTGAAATATTTCAAGTGCAAAAATAAAGCAAGTTCTTCGATTGGAGCAGTCACAGTCAAAGTCACAGAAACATGTTGACGTTATGGCAGGAGATTGATCTTGTAGTCTACAAGGTTACTTCTGTTCATTGCTTTGTAGAGCTACTAATTATAAAGGCAGTGTTGTTTTCAAGCCTCAGTGACTTGAAATTCCCTGGTTCTTTTTGAGAACATGTGTTGTGATTGTAACTTCTTATGTTGACTTTTACAATTAAAGCTTACAGTCTGGATGCCTCACTGTTCGGGCATCATGGGAAAGCTCGAACAGCACTTAAACAGCTGTATAAAAGAAAAATCCAGCAGTCTTTTTAAACACAATTGTCCACTTCTTTTGGTGCATCTGCCTCATGGCTGTCATCATGGGTTCTTGGCTGCAGTTTTGGCTTTCCCATTTGGTCCTGTTTTGATCTGGGTCATCTCAACATCTGTCAGGGCGTCGAGGGGAAGGCACGAGCGCATGCGTTCAATGGTCTTCTGGTAGGCTGCCCTCTCCTGCTCTAGAGAGCGAATCATGTGCTTCATTTTACTCTCTCGAGAAAGGAAGCTATCCACACTGGCCTCCAGGGACTGGATCTTCTGACGGGCCGCCTGCTCAAACAACTACAATTAGGTGGAAGACAAGAGGTGTTCTAATCTAGCCCATTTGACAGGAACTAAATACAACCATTTTAGTACATCATGTAAGTTTATCTGAGAATAATTCGTCAATATCAATCTTTTAGAAAAGTAGATGATGTAGTAGTTTATGTGTATTAATTACCTTAACAAGAGCCTTTATAAAGGCTTAAAGCTGGGGTAACAAATGTGAATTTCTCATGCACAATACATGTTGTTTGTTCCAACAGAAAGTAACATCTTATGGACAAATCAGAGCCCGACATGGTCTTTATCCTTTTAGAAAAAATAGTTTAGTTTAGTAAAGGACTAAAGTTTAAGGACTTTAGTCCTTATTCAACGCTTTAGACTGAGTGTAGGTTTAGTTCTGCTTTTTCTGAAGCTGAACTAAATAAGCAATAGACGCCAAAAATGAAAACAAGTGATAGTTCACGCTTAATACAGTTTAGTTCTATGTATTGTTAAATCCTTTCATTTTTTGTAGTTTGATTAGATACCCCAGCTTTATTGTGTGCAAAAATGATAAATTTGAGTTGGCATTAAATAAATACACATTAAGGGAATTGATCGTGCTAATTGAGACTAATACAATGCCACGAGGGATGGTGTTTTGTGGCTTGTAATTTGGTGCCATCTATTGGTGAGGTGGGTGCAACACTAAAAACACACAAACAGTGCCTGCAGCTTTGTTCTCACCTGTAGTTTCTCAAGTAAATCCATATTTTGTTTCTTTAGCTGTGCGTTGGTTTTCTCTAGTTTATCGAGGCGATCCGAGTCATCAGGAGGTGGCCCTGTATCCAACATCTCATCCTGCAGAACGTGGTACTCCACTTCATACGCGTGCAGCTGTTTGGAGATATCCATGTCCATCACCTAAAACAAGAAAAAAATTAAATTCATTCATATATTGTGCTATTTGATTGAAGATAATTATAAAAACAAGGTATAAATATTGGGGGGAAAAAGAAAATCTCACAAATCCCAACCAGAGAAGTAAAAAAAATCTGGCTTGAATCTGGCTGTTTATCTCACAAAAGAAACTTCATAATTGTATGGACATGGCATCAATAATGGCAAGGTATTGGTGCTTTTTGCAAAACATAATTTTGTACAAATGATATCGACTTAAATCATGGCTGCAGTTATTATACTTTATTATAGACCATAATAAAAATGCCTTAATTTATATAAGCGAATTGACTCCCTATATTAGTGTAGATATGTCAGTGTTACATTACAAGTTTCTTAAGTGAATATTAGTAATATGTAATACTATAGCACAAGTCTATACATAAAACTGTGTAAATCTATAGCTACTATACCTTTGCTATGGTCTGCTCCATCTGGGCCTGGTTGAGTGAGGGAAGTGTAGTTTTCAGATAGTCCACTATGCTTTCAAAGTTGTCACACTTGATTATCTCGCTTTCGTGGCTACTGAGAAGGCACAGGGCCACTTTGAAGATCACCTCAGTTCCTTGGGCAAAGACAAAATCTAGAAAATAAACATACAATCAGTAATTTGATATATACGTTTATTTTCCAACATGCGATTTTTGAATGTCTAACAATACATACCAAATAGGCGAGAAACAAAACCAAGAGGGAACTGGGAGGCGAACAGTGTCAGGAACCAGGGAGCAGCGTAGAGGCTGGGGCAGATCTCGTGTTCCTCAAAGTGATTGTACAGGCCGCGGTGATAATCATGGAGCAGTCTGGAGAGCTGGTACATTTGAATCTGCAAAAACAAGCATACAAGTGAAAACAAGTGAGCATGCAAGAATAACATAGGACAATACACACAATTAAACTCGATAGGCTGGCACAGCAAGATTTACCAGGTAAGTGCACCTATAACCCAAGGCGTTAAGCAATACTAAATAATAACATAATTTTAAGAAAGTTACTATAACAAGTCATTTAGGCAGATTGGTGATAAACCTGAAATGATTCACACAAGAAAGCAAGAAATAATACTAACGAGAAGTTACTTTTTAATGTATTCTAAAGTAAAAATCCATGGTACAATACTTCTCTGTGTCGCTGCTGCTGCTGCTGCCGCTGCTGTCGTTTTCAGTAAAAGGGAAGTGTTGTGTAGACAACCTCATTAAACATTACCACACCTTCCAGCACATAAACTATTCTTTAACTGGGGTTAACAGAGCATGAAGCAGGTGTGGCATTGTGTATGTGGTGTACATGACTTCTGCGTGTGATAGTGTGGTTAAAGTATACTGATACAAGAACTAGTCTTATGTCATCTAAAAACATGTTTGAGTTAGTTGCATTCCTAATGAATTAAAATAACAAGCAAATTACTTGATAGCCTAATAGTTTAACTTAATTTTCTCATGATTTCTTTGAAGAATTGGAAGATTTGAAAGAAAGTCTGCATGCACCAACTCGTCTCGTGTCATCGTCAGAGCTGCATGTTTAAAGATTTACCTTCCTGGGGAAAAGTAACAGCCTGGTCATTCTTTATACTCTTCTGTTAAAGTAAAGTGAATCCAAATTGTACTTCGGACCAAAAAAATCATGATGTCTGTCTGCACACGCACCTGTAGAGAGATCATGTCCGGTCTGTACTGACGGCGGATTCCCAAGTCGTACATGAGGAACTTGAGCATGTCAAAGGCCTGTTCCTCACTCATGTGCAACAGTAACACTCCGGCCACAAAACTGATGCCCTGGCAATAGCCCACCTGAAATAATACACAACATGATTTAGCACCATGGCTGTGAGTTATGACTGTGCAGCACCGCACCTCTGTGTCCAGCAAAGAGTAGGCCTTCAGGAGGTTGTAGAGAGAGAGCTGTCCAGCCCCAAGTTGAGCCGAGAAGTACTGGTGTGTAGGAAAGGTCCGACCTGAAGAAGGATAAACAGGGAATGAAAGTAACTTTTTTTTTTCATTGTTTTTTTCTTTTCTTTGATAGGACAGATATTCAGAATTGATGGTAAAGGAGGTGAAACATTGACAGTTCAAACCTGACATTAATAAAAATAAGGATGTTTTCTGCACTTCAGATTTAATAGTAGGCATGCTAAAAGTATTGGCCAACAAGCCGATATTGTCCATCTATATACAGTCAATGCCCTGTACATGTGCTGTTCTTCTGTAGCAATAATGTGAAATATTTAATTGTATGGGGGGTGCGACAGTGGCTCAATTGGTAGAGCATTGGCCTTTGAGCCTGAAAGTCGTGGGCAAGACACTTAAACCAACTTTGCCTGAAGCCCCCACTGAGAGATCAAGGCTATGCTCACATCAACAGAGCAGCCATCCTCCTGTGGACTCACAGCCAGCAGGAGGATCAGTATGGGGCTGGTGAATTGGGTGCAGCTCTGCCACCCCCCTGACCCAGAAATGGATTAAGGGGAAGAAGATGGATGGATGGATGGATGTAATTGTATGCATTGTTAAATAGCCTCCACTGAAAATTCAATATATATTCTAAATTATTGTGTACTGTCCTGTACTGTATATGTAATCTTAACTCGCTACTGCAAACTGCATACTGTTTTAGTAAGAACTGTATGTAGCTACAGTTTTGAAAGATTAAAGATATTCTCTAAGTGCTCCTTATTCCAACTGTTCCTTATTCCTCCTACGCTGCGACACTGACATTTCCCCACTGTATGATGAATAAAGGTTTTTTTCTTCTTTTGATGGAACCACTTTGATTATGACAACCATGATTCCAGGGCCATGTGCTCACCCAGATCCACTAGAATGGCGTGCTGCTGCGCTGTGAGCTGCTTCAGGAGATCTCTATAGAGGATGTCAGGGGCTTGTTGTCGATGGGGAAGTCTGTGTCGGAGTCGGTGCTGATGAGAGAGGAGCAGCCACACCTCTCCACGCCGGCTCTTTGAAACACCTACTCTCAAACACAAAACAAAGTTAACACCCGCTCGCGACAAACGTACAAGCATCAGTCCTGCGCTTGACCTTGGCAGACCGCACGGTAAATCTCCTCTTTGTCTTGCGGGACCGTGGTTCTGCCTGGAGCGGACAGTTTCTTCTCCCACAATCCTTGAGCGTCCCTGAAGCACTGACCCACCTCTTCGTAGTCGAGTTTCATCTTACGGATGTGCAGCTCATCACGGCTCGCTGCAAGAGATTATAGCTTTACCAATGGCCCACATTAAAGCTGGGGTACCCAACTTATTCTTCCCCTAAAGAATACATTTGATTTTCACGACAGAAAGGGTCATGTAAAAGTAAAACGGGATAAAAATCAAACCTCTTAATAGAAAAAACTTGCACTTGCACATGTTTAGTGAGAGGATGTGTGAGTTTGTGTGAGAGAGAGATTAACTGTGTGTGTGTGTGTGTGTGTGTAGGAAGGGGCTGTGTGCTTTGTGTGTATATGTGTGTCTGTATAAATGAGCGATACAAATGTGAGGTTTTAACAAATTGTGCATGTGAAGACTTGATCTTTTATGTATTTTGGCCAATGCAAACTGTATATCCATGTAAATTTGTTATTTTAATGTTGTATCGTAACATCAGCCTGCCCAGGGACTTGAGCTAAAACCATGGATCTATAATAATGGGCTAGAATCTGGTACAATGCATCTCTCCCTTTGAGGTTAATGTGTTTTGTACACTGTCCCTATCACTTTAAATAAATAAACTAAACTAAACTAAAACATGTTATCCTTTGTATATTTGCAAGAAAGAACCCTTTGAGTCAATATTTGATGCTTTGGGCTGAGTAAGGGTGGTCTTTTTTAACTTTTCTGTCTGAAAAAGCTGTGAAAAATTGTGATAGAACGAGCTTTATATTTGCATACTCCATCTTTAACAAACTTGTATTTCCTGTGTTGTGGTGGGTGTAATCGGTCAATTCGAGAGTGAAGTGAAAGTGAGACGGAAATCCCTTTGATAGTATCACAAATGTCACCCTAAAAGCATCAACAAAAGAACAACACCAATACAGGAGAGTCAGGAAACATTCAGAGATTATTAGAGTGAATTAAGAGTCCAGAGGTTAAATGATTGATTGGATTGTGTACAGATAAAACCAAATAGTACGATTCATGCAAAACATCAGCTCTGAACAGTGATCATGCTTACCATCTATTGAAAACAGAGCAGGAGTGGTGTCAGAGTAGCAAAAGAGAAAACAGATACGTTGTTAAACATATACTTTGATTCATCGATGTAATAATGTATTAGGGCATTGTCAGACTTTCCTAATCTCAGAGCATTTCTTTGTTTTGTCGTTTTATATTAGCAATAAGCTGTCAACAAACACAGTGATACCTGCAATAACATGATTCATATAAAAGTTCAGTGCAGGATTTACACATGGATTTGCTTTTCCACTCCTCCTCCTTTGTTCCAAGTTCCTGTTTTTGAGGAAAGCTGTATAACAATGGCCACTGAGATAAAACACAGTTTTGCTGGCTGGTCTGATTCTAATTTTAGTGATGTGGAGCTGGTTTAATCCGGGTCTGTTCTTGGTTTATTCCAAAAATATATGGACATGGATCACTGTGTGAGCTATAATGGAATACTTTAAAATGGCTGCTTATTGGAGACTTGTTCGGCTCAGAAGGAAAACACACATTTGTCTTTTTTGGTAAAGCCCTAAATTACAACAAGGATGCCGAAATGAGTTGCTGCTTAATAAATTGATAATTATTTTAGAATTATATCAAGCTGTATGTCAAAGTGTGAACTGACCCTAGATCTGCAAAGCTGTATTCCAACATCAAAGTTATACTGGTTATACTGTATTGTGTGGGGAGGCTGTGGATGATGATAATAATAATAATAATAATATAAAAATACATCAAACTTATATAGTGCCTTTTTGGACACTCAAAGATGCTTTACAAAACATAAGCCATGTTAAATACAATTGTTGGTTCTAACTGGGGCAGACAGATAAAGTTCTATACAAAAACGTGAGCATTTAAAAGCCCGAAATTAGTGTCCATATCTTTGCACACAACGCAACCCTTTGTTCTCGACAACGTGACAGATGTACCGATAAAAAACTGGGCACAACAAACAGCAGAAAATATCTTGATCTAAGTGCGGATCATGTGACTCCAATGTTCCACTCGGTCAGCCCTCAAACTCACCCTCGAGCCGCTGATTTTCCTTCTCCATTCGCAGCAGCAGGATCTGTTGGTGAATGGCAGTTTTCCAGAGAATCCTGTAGTCGGCCCCCGTCCTCTTGGGCCTCTCCCCAGGTGCGTGGTGTCTGCTTACGGGCACCAGGCGGCCGAGTGGGTCTGGACCAGAGACCAGAGCACAGGGGGATAGAGGCAGCAGCTCAGAGGAGTCAGAGTCTGGGAATCAACACGAACAAGAGCAACATTATATACAACAACATTTTGGATTTTATGTATGTTCTGCTACTCAAAACATTTTTTAAAAGATGACAAATAGATGATAAACACCAAATAAAACGTCAAAATTATAAGCAACAAAGACTTGGCAGGTGTCACTTTACATATAATGAGTCTATATCATGTATTGGTTTCACATTTTAGGTTAATTACATATATAAATGTTAATAATATAGTTTCACCTGTGTATAGGGTGCTCTAATGAATGCAGAAGGATAATTGTGTGCTTTGGCGAACCTGGGTGCTCCATAGACACCGTTGGCTTGTTCATAGGAGACGCGACTCTCATGAAGATCTTCTGTCTCCAGGACACACGGCGTGGGGTCAGCGGCAACGCACTCAGGGAGTCTGTGCTGCAGACAGACAGTGTCCTCTTCCTGCCTTCACCATTGCTAAGAGACAAGAGCGTCATGTCACGGATACTCAGTGAAAGACACAGGTGTCAACTTGCAGCATCATTTAAGATATTTCACATAAACTGTAACATGTTGAAAGAAAACATAATGAGTATGCATAAAATGTATTGAAATGATTCATTATTGTATTTTTCAGTTATTCTTAGAAATATCAGCCACAAAGCAGGTATGTAGTTGTGTAGAGCATCCATGCATTTTCAGATAGAAGCCAGATAACAATGAGGAAAACAATCCTTATTTGTTACAAACTATTATCCTGGTCGTTGCCAAACTAAATAGTAATTATTATTTACAGGAGGAAAGTATATTCCTCAACAGCATTCATTGTCAATTTGTCAAGATAAATTTGGCAACCTTCCCTTACATAATAAAACATGAACAAATGAAAAATAAGTTTTAACAGAAACACCATTTGTAAATATGATGAATTGTAACATCTCAGTTCTAAAACTTCTATAAATGCAACTGTCCAAATGAATTGGATATCCATCAGAAGAAAACATCTTGTGGAAGTGACATTTTACAGAGGTCTGCACAGCTGAGGCTCATTCATAATGGAAATATTAACCTTTACTTTCTGCCACTCAGGCTCAACAGCTCTGTGCTGTATGAACAGCTGTAGAAAATCCAGACGCCTTGAATATAGCACTAAAGATAACTGTGGAGAAAATGAGTATCTCCCTGAATCAATGACAGAAAAGCTACAAATGATGTTAGTTAGTCATGCATATAACATGCTGCTGTTACACAGAAGAAAGAGAATGTTAGCCACAGGCGAACAGGTCCAGCAGCTTTATATCGAGATTGTATTTCACAGCCATAGAAGGAGACAATGTACAGACATCATTTAGCTGCATGTTACACAATTTAGAAAGCCAGCACATATGGGGCTTCTGCTTCCCAGCGTAGAAATGTAACACCCTCCCAGCCATGTCATCCCAGTGACAGAGGCTGGTAGTGTTGGGGCTGTGCACAGGGGGCATGAGGACCCCCTCTCACCTCTTGTTGCTCCCACTGTCTGCCAGAGAGCTGAGGGAGCTCAGGGAGCCCAGGGAGCCAAGGGAGCCCAGGGAGCCAAGGGAGCCCAGGGAGCCCTGGTAAATACTTTTCAGGAAAGTAGGGGCGGAGAAGGGAGAGGTGAGGCTGAAGGTAGAGTCACTCTCCGAAACACTGCGTGTTCTCGAGACGGCCACCACACTGTAGTGACCAAACATGGAATGCCCAAAAATAAAAACAAACATTACACAAAGAAAGCATGGAAACAAGGACGATCTGTCACGTACAGGGAACATGTGATGGCACTGTGTTGTTTGGATAGTTGGGTGGGAGTTCATACACTGTTCAAATGTTCTGCACATCAAACATAATCAAACTATTATAGTTCACGAATAAAGCCATGTTAGCTTTAGCCAGGTGTTCATCCAAACCACAAACTGTGCTTGCAAAGCATCCACTGTTAGCTCAGTGCCACAGCCTCCTGTTAGGTCCGAGAGCATACAGTACCTGGTCTGGAGCAGCTCGGGGTTCATAGACTGCTGTCTGCGTAGAGGAGGGTGTTTCTGGCCGGTGGGGTGGCTCTCAAAGGAAATGCGTTTCTTCACAGGTGGATGGCTGAAGGTGTGAGCGCGCCGACGGAACTGGGGGCCTGCCTCTGGGTCGTCATCCAGAAAGTGAGGAGGAGAACCAGGAGGTGTGTGGTCTGGGGAGTCCTCATCCTGCTGATAACAGAATATTGTGGTTGTTATTCGAATAATTAGATCTGACAAATATTAAAATGAAATTTTATATTTTTCATCTGATTTGATTGTAATTGTCTGACTGTCTGACTTGAAGTGCTATCAGTCACACCAGAAATAGACAGTAATTCCAACCTAACGGCTATGCCAAACCCAAAGCCAAATAAAACAGCAGCTCATGTTTCAGAAATGCACTCACCTCACTCTCAACGTAGGCCACAGCCGAACCTACTACAGGCTCCCCTTTCAGTGTAGCCACTCTGCGTCATGACCCCCTCAGTACAACTCCCACATCTATTGTATTCAAATGCAGTGACTCATGGCATGGACACACTGGAGGGAAGGACTTCAGAGCTTGTCCATGTCTGTCACCTCCCTCTTTAAACACATGCTGGCTCTTCACGCACAGAAGGAGAACACAAGTTGCAAGATTCTTAAAATATGTTTACCATGTTAATTGCATTATTTGTACAAAACTGGAAAATGTGCTTTTGACATGGTGGCAAAAAAGGAAGTGTATAAAAGGCATTGCGCAGCAGTCACACAACTTCTGACTTGGATATCCTGCTTGTAGGCATAAAACATCCGTGACAATAGTAGGCAGACAACAGCACAAAATAGCCTTAGCCTTTAGCCTTACTAAAAACCTGTCTCTGCAATAGTAACTATTTTCTAGTGCTATCTACCACGGGAAAAGTGCACGCCTTATAGAGTTGATTTGCACGTCATATTACACTGCAATGTTTATAAATGATCTGACCCCCATTTACATTTTACATAACACGTTTATACAAAACATTTTTGAGTTTGTTATTTGCTCTTGAAAGGCTAAATAATGTCTTCAGACTGGTACCCTCCTTACTCCTCAGCCCACTCCAGTCCTCCCTCACTACTACACACATGTACCAGCAAATAACAAAAAATATAAGTCAACTTTATGCAACATAACACAATGTTAACATTACTAAATCTCAGACTGTCCATTGGTACGCTAGAACTTAAGTCCTTGTTCAGTATTTAGTGTTAAAACAACCATAAACAGAGCAACCAGGTGTTTTGATCTCATGTCCTGCTTTGATGCATGTGCAACTCTTCGATGATGTAGGCTGTAAATGGGTCGATGAATTGATGGATTGTGAAATACATTTTAAGGCTCAATATTTATAGTCTAGATATTTTCTTGGCAATGTTCTTTCTCCTTTATACACCTTTAAAACGGTTATCATTGTTTTTTTCGCACTCACCCTATCAAAGCTCCCAATGCTTCCTATACTTCCTAATCGGCCTCGCATCCGACTGGCACCCTGGAGAAAATCAAATCAAATCAATGAAAATACAGTTCATGTAAAGAGATGTATAGATTTACTAAAAATGTGGCTGATATAAAAGTAAATTAAATTATCAAGACAAAGCACCGAGACGCAAAAAGATGGCGGGATAATTACACTATTGACAAGTGGTGTCACCGAGGAATATAGGTTAATCCAAATCCCAGGATAAATTCAAATGTGCTTAGGGACTATACATTTTATAACTATAATTATTTTCAAATATTTAGGTTTTTCAGAAACTCTGTACCCGTGCAAATATGTTCTCCAGAGAACTGGTGAGGGAAGAGCGAGCCTTATTCTTGAGGAGATCCAGTTTGAAACGACTGCCGCTGGTTGCACCATCTCCGACTGCTGAGCTACTGGCTGAACTCTGTTCAAAACAAAAGTTAAAAGTGCAAAATACTAGCCATAACTGTAAGTTAAAGTGTAATTTTTCAATGTAATATTGAACTACCTGAGGAACATCTCCAAGGTGTGAATGAGTTTTTTGCTTTGATTCACACAGTTGTCTCAGCTGGATAATGACCAGCTCATTTTCCTCTTGGTCTGAACTTGGTTTCTGCTTCTAATGACACAAACATGCACGTGTGTGTCATAATTCTTTATATGAAATATTACAGGGAATTATAGAACAATTAATCCGAGAACTGAAAAATATTAGCACATAAAATAGACTGTTCAGATGGATGCAGTTAAAACTGGTGTAACCAACTTTGAAATCACAAAAAATAACAATGCAACCAGTTCTCCATACTGTTTGGTTCCTTGGCTAGTTTTCACATGCATTTCTGTCTGGCCTTTGTCACATCTTCACATCATCTATTTCAGTGAACAAGAGAGTTCATGTTTCTAATAAGATAAAGACAGCTGTTGTTGTATGATTTGTTCACAACTTAATCCGGACTCTCTCTGTTGGGACAATAACATGTATTCATGGAATCAAAAAAACAATTTTGGTGCGGGAGCTTTAAAACAAAATGACACACCGATGTTCCCAGTCCATTTATGAAATGTACATATTCTTGTATTCGCACATGTTGTACCTGGACTCGTTCAAAGATGTCCACCTGCTCGTTGTCATTGAGCTGGGAGAGATATTTTTGGATTGCCAGCTTTGCTCTTGGTGGGTAGAGACCTGAGGACACAAAGATGCAGTTTTATTTGTGAAAAGCATCAATACATTCATGCGTCAAAGGAAATCCTCATAAGTGCACCTTCGATCCTCTCACAGAGCTTGTGCAGGTCGTGCATGGGGCACGCTTCACACAGCTGGATCGGAGTCTTACTGCTTTGTAAGGCTGCAGCGGTACTAAAGGCCTGCTTCAGTGTCATCATCACCTCATCCACCTACACAAAGAGCCGCGAGGGAATAGAACAATATATGAAAGAACAAGATTTATGCATTATTTGTGTTCGTTTGGGCTCATTGTGATGTGGACATGGCATTTCATGTGTGAAATGATTCATGAAATGTATGCATAATAAAAAGTAACCAATAAATATGTATAATGTATAAAGAAAGATGGCAAAACCTCCATCTACTGGTAGAAGTGGAAAATACATTTGGCTTCTATTATATACGTACTCATATGTTTGAGATATGAGTACTTGGACAGAAGATACTGTACGTATTTGCGCAGATTTGTTACATAACTAACTAGGGGTGACAGTGGCTCAGTTGGTAGAGCATTGGGCCTGAAGGTCGTGGGTTTGAGCCCACCACAAGACCTACTTCACTATTCCCACTGCTGTCGTTGTGTCCTTGGGCAAGACACTTAACCCCACTTTGCCTGAAACCCCCACTGGAAGATCTCGGCTCCTGTGGACTCACCACCTGCAGGAGGATCAGTGAGGGGCTGGTGATGTTACATAACTTCCTGATAACACTGTGAATATCTACAAGTGTGTAAATTATGATGGAGCAATGTTATGGCATAACTCAAAAGAAGATTATTGTGTGTGTATTACTTTGTGTCCTTTAAATTCTAGTGTCTTTAACACTCACCAAAGAGTCAGTGGCGCACTGGAACACATAGCAGACATACTGACTAGGACCGCCTTCACATTGGTCCCGGGAAATGAAGCCAAAATGGTCAGTTTGCTTTATACCCTGCAACAAATCCAAATAAGTCTTTCATATAGGACATTCAAGACACTCTGATATGAAGGTATATGTTGTGCAGGTTTAAAATAAATAATCTAAATCTGAAATCGGTTACAGAAACTGAGACATTGGCACCAGTAGCATTACACAATCTATCCTGGCTTTCAATAGAGTATGCATTTTTAAAGAAGTATAGTTTTACAGCCTGGTTAGGTCCATGTTTAATTCAGGTTAAATACTAAGTCTGCCTGATAGTGCTATTTAGTCATAGGGACAGTCAGGTTCTAGTCAATCCTTATTTGAGATTCTAAAATGCAGTTTGAGCTCAGCATAACAGGCAGAAGATAAGATGACAGTTTCACATAAGCGCTGCAAGTGTTAATAGACCAACCTGACAGCACGATGAGATATCTTTGAAGTTCTTCTCCAGCACCACTGTCTTACTATCTGGACTTATAAGGTTTATTTCAAATCTTCCAACCTGTAAAACAAAACAAATGTTAGTTTTACAACAAATAAACAAATACATCTGACAAGTGCTGCCCTGAACCAGTTCTGCCCCGACACACGCTCAACGAAAGACAGTAACACATTTAGAATCAAGGTCAACGTGACGGAGCAAATGATTTTTTTTTTACATAATTGACTTCTCTGTGGTGTATCATATTGAGTGCTGTGCTCTAGTTGTTAAATATAGCTTTGAATGGCAGCTGGTCAGCACTGAAGCTTTTCAATGGGCCAGATCACACAATACTATTTAGAATTTGTTCTGGTAGCAGTAGCAGACACGGGGGCTGGTGGCTGTGTTGGAACAGCCAAGAGTTTGTGCATAAAAATGATTTGTAGACCCACAGATGTGCCGAGGGCTGTGGGGGAGAGTTACAGTGTGCGCAACAGCTCTGAGGCAATAACACCCAGGGCATTTTCTACAAACGAGAATCAATCACAAAATGACCTTAAAAGTTGGGCTAATGCGATCTTAAAGATGCAGTGATGATTATAGTAAAAATGTTATCACAAAATAGACATTGAACCAAAATTGACTTTAGATTTTTAATCATCCCAATTTTTCACTCATGTTTACTGTTTGCATGAAGAAATATAGTCAAAGGTAATATTTCTAAAACCTCATTGAGGCGCTTTCAGTAGATCTCCAATGCACAGTTCATGCTCAGCAGCCCAGGTATTTACAAGAACTGGAGGCTTTTTATCAAGAAGTACTGGCAACTTTACCATCAGAAAATAAAAAAGCCTCATCCATAACTATACCACAAAAGATTCCAAGCTATCAGAGATGTTAAAGGAACTATACCTGCTATTGAGAACTAGGGGATGGAAACTTCTGATGAGGGTCATTTGAGGAGTTTCTGTTGCCACTAACAATGAGTGTAAATATTTTTTTTTGGGTTATCTAAGATGTTAGCCTCGGTATGTACACTTCCAAGCATGACTGTATGTTACTGTTTCTTTTAAACGTGCATATTACCAGGTTGTTTCAAGGGGACATTCTTTTGAAAGATAAAAGGTTAAAATTCACAGCCAGAGCTTCAAACATAACTGAGCAGTGAGCCGCAGTAAACCGTTTTAATACTTCCCATAGACACAGCCTTTTTTTACCTGGAAAAGCATGGTGCGGTTTTTGTCAGCATCAGAAGGCTGAACATGGTTTGGAGCACTGGCGTGGCGGCGGCGAGTAGGTGCAAGAATGACATTATCTCCGGGTTTCTTCTGGAGGCTCCCGGCGTGGCTGCTGCAGCGAGTGCGGAACTCCTGAGGCTCCTCGAAGCCGGAGTCCTCCAGGATGCACTCCGGGAAGGCCCCGCGTAGACTGCTCTGACTGGCACTGTTGGATATGACTTTACCTTGGGCATACCACAAACATACAGATTTCTTCACTTTGAGCATTTGAGGAATTAAAGTTTTTTTCTTCACAACAAATAGTAGATTTGGTATGTTTCTGGGGAATCTCGTTAATGGAGTGCAGGCAATACTCATTTATTTTGCTACGAGTGCAATTATGCCATGCTTTAAGCCAGGGTCCCCAACATTCAAACCAGAACATTTTTACTATGTAATAAATTCTATCTCCCTTGTTCCCCTCTCTTTGTTTAAAATACAGGCATGTGAATTTGTTTTCACATGCCTGTATTTTTGGGCCTCCATAACACCTTTGGAACCTGTTTTTTAGGAAACAGCTCTCAGCCAAAAGCACACGCTCTTTCTTACAAGAGTGCAAAAGATAAAGCTGAAGACGGCATGTTGTAGTCTGATTTGTTCACAACATTTTACTTTTAAAAGACTCTTCTTGTTGGGACAAACAACATGGATTACTTATGCGGGGGGAAAGCTGGTACCGAAGCCTTAATCTTTTGCGTGAAGTGGAATAGTTTGTCAGATCTGGCAACAGACCAAGGCTTTTTCTCTCCTCTCAACTTTGACACACACACACACACACACACACACACACACACACAGTGGACTAATACAAGGCTGAAGGACTGAGATTAGCTCTGGTGAAACAGAAAGAACTGGACAGTATTGGACAGAAGAGGAGCACACAAAACGGAAGCCTGTACCAAGACCAGACCTGACCAAAGGGAAAGCGCCGACTTGGAGAGCAGCTTGGAACAAAACACATATACTGCTTTATACCTCCTCATTTCGACTACAGACTGCATGAAGGAATAGTCAATGCCAACTTGCATTAAACTCATCTTACTCTGTAACCGTAATAATCTTCAGTTTAACGATGTGCATTGTCCTGCTGTATTTTATTAAGTCTTTGTAAATCCAGAATGGCCCCTAATAACTGAACAATCAAGTGCCTATTCAGCTTTAGCTAGCAAGAACAGCCCACCACATCAGCTCCTGATTGGCTCTTTGGTTGCTAGGTCATTGCTAACCCACAAATTTTTCTCCAGATTGCCGTCCATAGAGCCTGTTTGAGCTCCTTCTGCAGTCTAATGATTTCAACTCAAGGAATACAGTGAATAACAATTACAGTGACTAATGTATATAGAGAACAACATTCAAACCTGTTCCTCCGAGTGGTATTTCGCCCGCTGCAGGCACTTCTGTGTTTGCTTTCAAAACGGAGGACAGTGGATCCGTCTCTGCACCCATAAAAAACTCCACTGCTGTGTTCTCTGTTGACCCACGCTGGCCATTAAGCAGACGGCGCTTGCGTTCAACCTCGTGCTGGCGAAACTTATCAATGCAATCATCAATTAGGGTCGATGAAGCCGTTTTATGACCAATTGTTACCTTGAAAAAAATAATAACCATATTTAGCTTCATTATTATATCTATGAAAGGTTGTGTTTGATCATAGTGCACGCTAGTTCTACCTTCCCACAGTAAAGCACTTCAAACTTTGTGGAATTGTAGAACGCTGCTTCCGTTTCCTGTTTAGGATTGTTTTCTTCCTTTAAGACGGATTTGGACGCTTGTCGAATCCTGCTGATGACCTCTGGAACCTGAGGGGAAGAAATCATAAAAGATACAAACATGAGACAGAAAACAACCAGAGCTTGAGCAGTCAGGTACAATGTTGTGACTTTTATGAATTATGCAAGAGTAGGAAATCCAAACAGAGTTTACAAAAGTAAAGGATGACAATAAGTTCACGTCAAAAGCCGGGAAACACCCACGCTCCAATGGACTGAAGACAAAACAGAGCAGAACAGAAAACAACAGAGCAGAACAGGAGAAAAAACCTTTAGAGGTCTTTTCCATGTAACTATTAGGTTGCCAATCCATGTTGCACATTTCCAGTGTTGTCAGTAGCCACTTGAGCGACTATCTTTGGAAAGTGTATTCCCTTTCCTGCACAGAGCAAAACTATTGAGCAACGTTTTGGAATGTGCAAAGAGCTACCATGAGAGAGGAAATAGTGCAAAAGAAACTAGAAAACCAGGATTGCAGTCAAGGCAAGGTTAGTCTTGGGCCTGTTCTAGAAATAACTTTGGTTTCACTCCTGGCCTCTCACATCTGATAAGACTGCTGGGTAAAGACATTTAGAATGTAGAAACATTATGTAACAGATTGGGCGACAAAACCACCCATAAATAAATGGACCAAATTACTATGTCCTTCTCTATTCAAACTTGTTTTTATTGCTACGGGCATCTGTCCTTCACCCATAACCATAACTATCAGTATCTATGATAATACGTGACATTGGTGGCTGTCCAATTCCTGACAGGAGCAAAAACAGTATGAAATTAAATGAGGCCAGCATCAGGGCTTAAGGCAAAACAAGCTTGGGGGTTGTCTGTAACTGCCGGTACAATAGCAGAGTACAGCAGACCAGTGATGCAAATCTGCAAAATATACTGTGAAAATACATTAGGTAGTAGTAGCAGCTCTCATGTAACTAGTGATAATAATATTATAATAATATTACATAGACTAGAGCGGAATAGTCCCCCAACTTTCATTGCTAGAAGTGGAGATCCTATCATTTGCAAAAGGGTTTTTTTGTGGGATATGAAATAAATAATAATACAATATATATTAGTTATGTATACATAATAATTAGGAAATTAAACTTTTACACTTGAGTTTGTATTTGTCCATATGCATGTTTGCAGCATTTTGATTAAGTTGTTTATAGTTTATTTTTTGATAGTGACATGTTGCCAATCTCTACATATTCTCCACACGATCAGACCATCTCTAAGCTGGTTCATAGATAAAGCTGGTGGAAACCTCATAAAACTGCACTTGCCATATGTTGAAGTGTTTTCTACACACTGACCTAAATGTGACTTTATAATAATAATAATACAATAACACTATCATGTAATTAGTAAGCAAACATCTGCACTACTTACTTTCTTCAGTTTTTGAATTTAAATTTTCCAGCATTTATCCTGGTACATTTAGCACCAAGTGTTCTAAAGTGTGAACAAATCCTACTCACAATCTATGTTTTATTATCCATAACCATTCTTCATCTGTATTTAAACATTGCTGTACAAGGCCCATTGCCTGTAAAAAGAATGACAAGGCCACAGCTCAGCGAAAGGCATCCCACAGAAGTAACTTTTATTGGAGAGCAGAGGTGAACACACAGGGGTATATATTGTGCAGGCTCGCGGTGCCCATCAGTGGCTGAGGGAGTCGACTCAGTTCTATTTGTGCCTCAGTGTCTGGGAGAATATAACAGAGCCAAGTGTAGGTAAAAGGTTACACTTCAACCTGTAGTGAAAGTGTGCTTTATTTGAAGTTGATCATTTAAAAGAAATGGTCCTGTTCACATTCATAGAACACAGAGATGAACGAAACAAAAGTAAAATACAGGGGAGTACTGCAGGTATTGTTTGGCTTGGATGTAGTTTGTGGGAAGAAAACAGTTGACATAGAAGTTTATCAGTTTGCCACAGAACGACTGCAATGCCTCAGCTGCCCTTGGGCTGAAGGCCAAATGTTGTTGTAAAGTGCAGAAGTAATAACACTTAACTAAATGAAATCAAAGAGTGCATTGCCTGTCTTTAATTCAACCCTTAAACTACAATCCTGATACCCTATTATGCAACAGGAGAATACATTTCAGTTTATTCCAGATAGATGATATGATCTAAATAGGGAATAAAAACCTAGTACTGTTGCTGTAAGAGCTCGATGAAAAGGTAGACCTACATTCCACGCCGTCCGCTGCCTACGTGTTGGGAACTGCTGCCTGCTCAACCAGTTTGCTTGTGCATAATGAAGCTTTATGATCTTCGTATGGTCAGAATACTTTGTGCAGCTAGTTTTCAATCAGAGTGAAGCCTGACACCTCAAACATGCTCGCAGACAAACAGCCTGCTTGTGCCACTCACATACCTCAAGAAACACGAGACACAATCAATGCAAATGCTGTGAGAATGTGATTGGATGTTTCATAGAAGGAAAATACAACTCCTCCCAAGTTTATTGTCATATTATTTATGGATTCACATTTTTTGTTTACCTGATTTTAATATGGGTGCATGTGCTCTTTAAAAATAGAGGCAGCTTGGACTCCCACAGCAGGACAAGGAGTGGATTAATTATGTCAAATGTGCTCATTTGATCTTCATTTTGGGCTTCTGTCCTAAATACTTAATTCCTTTCACCCATATATCATAATCTTTGTGATTGCATTGTTATTATAGGAGTTCTGCTCTGTGTCTCTCCTTTGTTTTGTGATAAACACTAAATGAATTTTGTCCCTTTGTTATAATGATGTATACTGTTTATTAACACATGGAACAACCACTTCAGCTGCTCTTGAAGTTTTGACATAGACATATCATTTACCTGTCTGGGGTCGCAGGCCTTGAACACGTGACAGGACATCTCTGACTCAGGGTTGTCAGGTTGTCCCCGCAGGAGATAGGCAAAGTAAGAAAGGTCATTGCTGTTATGTATGAAACGAGAGATGAGCTGGGCCTTGTGCTCAAAAATGAATACAGAAGAGTTGTTATTGTTGGAGGGGACACAGCGTAAGACAGGGGGGTTGAGGACCAGTTGGACATCTCTGGGCTGAACTTGGGAGGCGCAATCATTCCTCTCACTTTTCCTGCGAATATCCGCTACAAGCCAGGGCAGCATGGGCAGTGTTGTCCGCTTATCCATCGCTGTCCAGCCGATGTAACTCAAGGAAAAGCGCCTGTCGCTGTCAGAGCTCAGGGGACTGCTCTCCTTCTCGTCGGCGCTGCTTCCCATGTTGACTGAAAAGCTTTTTGGCAGGAACGTTTGGAACAGTGTCAATAAAATAACAAAAATAAAAAACCTAATGTTCTAATGCTCCATTCCAAAATACAACAACTATGGCAACAAGCAGAACTCAACCATGTGTTTTTTCTCAATCAAGCGAAAAAATATATTCCAAAATTGTATTGGGCATCCAGCTAAATAGTGCATGTGGCTTCTTCTCCAAATGGTTGTGCAGATCGGTTGGGATAACAGTACAAAGCACTGTCCTAGCCACTCGTGCTAAGTAAAACGTGGCTTTGGGTCCGTTCTGTGTAAACAAAAGTCTCCCAGTGAAGATTTCTTTGAAGCGCTTTGTGTCGGTCCTGGGTGCGCTCCTGAGCTGCTCATTATGACGAGACTCTGCAGCTGCTAAAATACACCCATGCATGACTTTTTCTCCTTAGGCGCCTCTCATCTTTCAATACAAGAAAGCATACACTCACTGAGTCGATGTTCCCTTCTTCTCTCACGCTGAACCACGACGTGAGCTTTCTCCACAAGCGCCTTGGGCAGGGCGGAGCAGCACGTACCCGCCCTGCGCTCTGTCCCATGTGCTGAGGAGCGTGCAGGACGCATGGGGCAGGACGGGGCAACAGACGCGGCTGGCTCCTCCCCGCGCGTTCTCACCCAAACTCAATTCATATTATGGAAAGAACTGCCTCCCTTACCAAAAATGTCCACAAGGTTTGCTTTTGCTGTGTGTACAACAAGTCACTTAAAGTCACTGTATTAAGACTGAAAAAACCTGCACTACTATTGACACTGTTTCTTGATTGCCACTTTTTTAATTTGCAACTTTTATTGTACATAGTATATCCTGCATTTTACAAGTTTGCACACTTGAGTGTTTCTATCCATGCCAGATGTGACATGTAAATTTCTCCGGTGTGAGATCAAAAAAGTATATCTTATCCTATCTTATCTTAACATTCACAGTATAATCAGCCATTATGCTATTTAGTTGATTGGATACATGGTATGGTATGGTATGGTATACACTTTGTCTGAACAGGGACAGTGTACAATTAAACATTAACAAAAGGTAAAGATGGATTGTACCAGGTTATAGCAAATATGCTAATTTCCACCAGTCCCTGGCAGACCTGATCTTATATTCATTTAAACTGATTCTAATGTAGATAGATACATACATGGACGTATCTTACACTGACAGACCTTAAATAAAATTATTAACAAAATGTGTTATATGGTTTGTTCTCCATCAATGCAGTGTCACTCACACATTGTGATCGTGTCCAGTCTTGAACAAGTCTTGGCCGGGCTGTTTTGTTCTGTTTGCTCCCCCCAGGTGTATAGGCCTGGTATAAGCTGCCTATGCTCCTGCTGTTGGGAATACTATAATACTATAATGATGTCGCATTCACTGGTAATGAATAGGACGTATCATTTTTTATTAAACTGTTAACAAGCGAGACCGACAAAAAAAAAAGGCTTATTGAAACTTGTTACACTGCAAACTTGTTTATGAGTCATTAGAAAACAAATGAAAACATATCAGGGCCCACAGGAAATAAGCTTTTGAACAGTATTGCATTTTTTATATAACGATTCATCCAGTAGACGTAGACACAATACACAATACAGGCTTAATGTGGGAGAAAATAGGATCACAATATTTTTGTTTTCAATGTTGTTTTGTCTATTCCACAGCGACACAAGCGTGTGAGCAGGACGTGTGAGCAGGAATGGCCACACCCTTAGCCTTGGCACAGTCCACTGTTATGGTGTTATATCCCTGTCCCATATCAACACGCCTATGCCCAAATTTAATGTAAGGCAGAGAGTAACGTCAAAAGTAAATTTCTATTTAACATTTTGTGTATGGTGTTGCATTATTATGTTTTTATGGTTAGTGTCTGGACAGTTAAGTGTCAAGATTGGACCGTTTTAGACAGCACCCCCTTCCACAGATTCTTGCGCTGGCCCAACCCGGAAGCGGTCTCCTGCAGCTGTCAAAGTGTTATTACAGCTAACAAATCCATGTGCCTAACAGACTTTGACTAAACTTATCACAGTTTTCACACATTTTATTTTCGACCTGCACTTCTTTCATCATGGACTCTCCACGTTGGTTACCGCTGGAGTCAAATCCTGAAGTAAGTTGCTTTATCGTTGTATGTCCTGATTCATTCAACAACATAAGCGGGCGCTAACTGAAGCTAACAAGACAAAAGATTAAGCTTGTGTGAATATTTATGGAGAAGTTAAACTTTACTCTTTGTCTGTTTTCAGGTTATGACGACGGTGAGTTGATTTATGTCTTTAATGTTTGATATGAATAATGCCATGGGACACACGTGAAACAGAAACGATAGATCAACAACCTAAAAGCCACAGTAAGTTTTCTGACGGAGTCGTCTTCATCGTACATCGTTATGACGTTTCCAAACTATCGTTACATAAAAGCTAGTTAGTTTGAGGACACACGTTTAATATTTCTCAAATCGGTGGAAACTATTTAAAGTTAAGCCATTATGCATGAAGTTCTTACTAGTGCTTATTCATCATGTTTGAGCGCCCTCCTTCTCTCTTTTTCCCAAATACAGTTTCTGAACCGTTTGGGGATGAAACCAACCTGGCAGTTTGGAGATGTGTATGGTTTGGATCCAGAGCTTCTTAGCATGGTACCAAGACCAGTGTGTGCAGTGCTACTCCTCTTCCCAATTACAGAGAAGGTATGGCAACATTAACGTTGTATTAACTAATGTATGTTGACTTTGACCACTCTTCATTTTACAGTATGAAACCTATAAGCAGGAGGAGGAAGCCAGGCTGAAGATTGAGAAACCTAACATCTCCCCTGATGCCTATTTCATCAAACAAACTATTGGAAATGCCTGTGGAACAATCGGAATTATTCATGCTGTGGCAAATAACATGAAACATCTCGAGTTTGGTAAACATATATTTGATAGTCATATGGTCCTAATGTTGTTAACTAGAAACCATGCTATGCAATCCTGACACTGTTTATATATGATTTTGCCATTTGGCCCTTCAACTTCCGAGCCTTTATCTGGTTTTAATGACCCATAGTAATTTATATTTGATTACACAATTGGGAAACTGTAAAAGTTAAGTAAAACATAATGAAAATATACTGCTGTCTTATGAATCCCTTCCCATGCATTTAATAGCGCTTCAAGCATTAGATGATTAGCTGCACGTGCCGTGCCAAGGTGAATCATTCAGTGCTTGAACAATGGCCTCTGGTAGCTGAAGATTTAGAGTGTATTATTGTCATGGTGCTTCATTATTTTCACAAAATATGTGTCTTTTAAAGTGTGTGTATGTGTGTCTCATTCAAGAGTCTGATTCTCCACTTAAGAAGTTTATTGAGAAAACCTTCCAAATGAACCCAGAGGAACGGGCTGCATTCCTTGAACAAGACGAGGTATTAAATCTATCTATACTTTTTTTTTCCATTTTATCGGTTGGTGAATCACGGAGGCCGCAGTCTGAGCGGAGACTCTGTCATGGCTCAATGAATAGTGGATAAAGTGTGGGTACCCCTGCTCTAACGTGTCATGGGTCTTCTCCTGGGCCAGAATACCCAGCAGGCATGTGAATATGATGTCTAAATCAAAGTACAAGAGCAGCAGCTCTAGTCAGAGCTTCTGACCAGTCGAAACCTTTTGTCTGATCTGGGGTTGTTTTTTCCGGGATTTCACTTTCAACTCTGGCTTACATTTGTGTGTTACTTTTTTGTGGTCTTTTAAATCCCAAAAAATATTGTGATAAATATGACAAAACGTGAAAAAATGTGAGATTGTAAAATTTATTTTGGTCGTTTTCAGAGTATACGAGTTACACATGAATCAAGCGCTCAAGAAGGACAGACTGAGGTTTGTATTGTTTTTATAATGCTGCTGAGTATTTGTTTTTATTTACTTAAAATCCATGACAAAGTGTATTTACTCTTCCAGGCACCAAGCGCTGATGAACGAGTCAATTTGCATTTCATATCTTTTGTTAATGTGGGAGGACAGCTCTATGAACTGGGTAATTTACTCTTTTTGTCAAACATTGATTTGAATGATTTCAGTTTAATCAAAGTACTTGCTCATAGATGGCCGTAAACCTGCTCCGGTTGTACATGGAAATACTACAGAGGAGACCTTCCTTGAGGTATAGTATTCTTTAACATGGACAAATGTACTTTGTATCAATAATCCACTGATATATGTTTGTTATTTTAAAGGATGCAGTAGTTGTTTGCAAAGAATTTATGACGAGAGACCCAGATGAACTTTGCTTCACCATTATCGCACTAAGCAAAGATTAAATGGTTGATCTTTTTCGTTGTGTGCTATCAAAAGAAAGGAAACTGCCAAAATTCTCAAGTGCTCACTACATCGGTTCATCCCTCGCTTTACAAGGATACTGCTTAGCTACAAGATTAGCGCCACACAACGACCCAGCTTTTAAGTTTGTAGTTGTGTTAAATTTAAAGAATGTTTAAGGTTTTCAAATTCACTACAATGTTTTGTTCCATAGTAAATATTGTTTTTTGACTAATTATTTCTAAAACTGTTAAAAAACCAAGAACAAATGCATCTGCCATTGACAGTATTATATCGTTAAGATATCTTGTCTCTTGAAGTCAAATTGACAACTGGTGATGTAACCATTCTTCAGGGATGTGCCTACATTTTGTAATTCTGTTGAATAAACTACATTCTTCTGATGTTACAATGAATGTCTCATAAACTTCACATGAAACACTGGGAAATTAATTGTTTACTGATTAAATTGTTGTACAAATCAAAACGAATAGAACCATGTAAAGTTCCCCGCTCTCTCAACAGCAGAGAAGTGAAACTACTCTGAATTTTTACTAGAAAAAAATCAGAATACCATGTTTTCTATGGCAATGATGACGGGGTGGAGTGGTATGATTTGTTCCTTATCCAAGACCTTTTATTTTGAGGCAAACATCATGGATTTGTTATGAGAAAAGCGGTTGGGTACCAATTTAGGCTTAGGAAGAAATGAGTGTCGCTTGTGCGTTTTTATTTGCACTTCTACGTGACAGCCACTGGGGGGTGCTGTAGTAAAGGCCAAAGTGTAATCCGAATAGTTGCCTGGAGGTTTCGTTTCTTTTCTCTACTTTTATAAACATTCCAAAGAACTGCCCTCCTTCACACTGTTTCCATTCTCCAATATTTGCACAAAAATAGTTCAAACAGGTAAAAAACCACTCTAATGCAACACATTTTCCACCTGGAAGCTGCTGGTCTGCCCCTGAACCTTAGGAGTACCCCCCACCCTTTCTTTCCACGACCCCCGCCTCAGCCACAGCAGCAGACTTCTGAAAGGACAATCCTGTGTTGTGAGCTGAGGTGCGCCTGCTTCTGCTCTGTGTGTGTGGGAAGTGATCACAGACAAGGTGGAGACCAAGAGAAGAGCCGGTGATTAAGCCACAAAGCTGCAATAACAGGCGTGTCGGAGGAAAGCTCAGGTACAAGGCAAGGTGATGCATTAGTGCTATTCACGGCATAAAGACTTTGAGTGTCCCTGGTATTCACCTGTACCCGGGTCCACGTCACTAGTTTTGTTTGAGCGTCTATTGTGTTGGTACTTTTTCTAAACGGGGTCCATTGATGCCATTGACAGGACCCTCGCTGTGCACAGAAAAGTGATTGTGATGGAGTGGCGTGAGCAGTCCTCCGTCAGCTGTGAAGAAGCCTACACGGAGGCGCAGAGGTGGATAGAGGTAAGAACACATCGTCTTCGTTAACTGACTTGTTCTGTTCTGATCTGAAGTACTCACACTACTTCTATACATATCCATATCACTGTGATGCTTGAATGTAATGAAAGTTGCTCGTTCCTTTCCATACATGCCCTGAGGGGAAACAAACCCAGACTAGATGCACAGGTATGTCACCCTTGACCTCACGTGTAGAAACATATTTGGGGTGTTCAGAAAGTGTTTGTGCCATTGTGATCTTGAGCAGAGCCTTTTCTTCCTCCCAAAAAGAGCATTTCCATTTGGTAGAAAGTTCGGTCTTGCATGGACCTACTCATTTTTTCTCTGTTTAGTGCTTTTTGTCTTTTGAAAGTTGTGCTGATTAAACCTTTAGGCGCAAAGTAGAAAAGTTGATGATCCAACCTGGATTGTGCTGCCTACAAGTGTTTCCCTACATTTTTCTTTGTGATTATTTCTGCTTGATTTCAGGAGTTCTCTAGCTATTAAAACTTTTTGGCACTCCACATTCTGTTTCACACACTATCTCTGGACAAAAGGGGTAATACCCAGATTAAAATATGTTCTTTATACAACTTGTGGCAACATTTAACTTAATGTTTTCCGAATCCACAAGAGTTTTGAAGATCACTATTTTTTTACCCTAATGTTGCAAAATTTATACCTATTCATTGCCTAAATAAATTGTTCGCAGTTCCCAACTGCCTCTAAATATCAGACAAATTTATTAAAGTTATTTCTAATGTCTGGAGCCTATATTATTCTCTCCTCTACATTTGTTTGGTGCAGTGTAGGAAAATAAATAATATTGTGAAGGCTGTGAATGCTTTCGGTGTGACATCAGAGTCTCACACACTCACACACTGGCCCATTGTAGTGATTGGGGCTGGTGGTCTACTATGATCTTTCCAAACAGGGGCTTTCAGATTAGGTGAGGCTGAAGTGGGAAGGGGGCTGACCAAGTTGTACAAGTTAGAAACTTAACAAGGGACTTATTATAGCGGCAGTATAAGCGTGGACAGCGCAAACGTAATCAAAGAGTGATTTCTGGCAGGAGGTTGACACCATCCCTTCAAAGAGAAAGTGTTATGGCTGCTGCTCAGTGCCACTGAATGATTAACAAGCTGTCTGGCTGAAGCACTTTAAACAGAGGCATGTGTGCGCCCAGGTTGGTGTTCTAGTAAAAACTGGACAAAATGGTCTGGAGTTTGTCACATGGACACATTCCTGTTTCAGCTGCCATGACTGTAGGAATAGTAGGTCCTTAAACAGTTGGCCGGTGTGTCCTATGTGGAAGAATAATAGAGGTCCTTGTCAATTGAATAGTGGGACTTTAATTGTGATAATAACTACAGGTAAAAAAGTGACACCCTACTCATGGGCGATATGGCATGTGATGCATCATTTTAAAGACTCGTTCAAAGTGTCTTAGAATGGAATATATAGTATTAGAATATATACGGAAAGCTAAATTAAAGATCAGTTTTTTCAAGTAAAAACAGCCACATCAGGTCATTGAAACAAAAACACAAATGAAAAGACAAATGAAATCGTAAAAACAAGTATGAATTTGAATAATGATAGTTGCAGTGATATTAACTGTAATCAGTAGGATTGTATAATACTTCCATTGTATCTACACAATGCATATGGCCAACTGCATCATGTCCAACAGCCCATAGATTGAACCAATGCAATGATTAGGACTTGTTTATCTTTCCAAATGTCCTCTGTGACCTGGTCCACTACTCATCTGATGATTAGGTACCTCACCATTGTCCCTATTCTTGTTCTTGCACTGTTTTGGTAGGCAGCAATTAGGTAAATTAGGTCTACATTCAGGCGCACTCACGTGAAGCCGGACCTCACGCCACTCTTCAGTTGTTGTTGCATGTTACACTTCTATCATACTGATAAGTCACTGCTGTCAGCAGTAGTTGACATGGCTTCTGTGCTGTGATTTTTCTAGAGCTAGAACCAGAAATTATTTGGACAATGTCCAGTTTGCACTCTGATGACCCATACTCCTGTAGAGAAGGAACAAAGAATTATCAAACAATTAGAAGGGGGCTGCATCCGCACAAATCTTGAATACTGATTTGCCTCGATGCTCTGCATGAATAAACAATAACTTTAGTCACGAACACAGAGGTGCTGCTTTAGCCCAGTATTCTACAAGATCATCACTTTTAAATCTAAACTATGCACATCATTGACTTTATTAATGTACAAACATGCATGACGTGCATATTTCCTAGTTGTACAAAACATTGATCTTTGGTCCATTCACATTAATATGTATATTGAAATATTTCTTGAGCACAGCAGTTTTGCATAGAAAATGCATCATTAGTTTAAAAAGTATGGTTAACTTATGCATCTTGTTGTTGCTATTCTACTTTATGGCTTTAGTTGGCTTGTGAAAGTGGCATGTGCAAGTGTTTTGATGCATAAGGAATCACAAAGCTGACTTCCTCTTCTGCTGACATTCTTGAGTGGAGGGTGTGCTCAGGAAGGCGAGTTGTTTTTGAAACCTGTGTCTTAAATGTCTTAAATCGCCTCGTTGAGTCAGAGTAGCAGTACTGTATGTTGAAGCAGATTAGAGGGCAATTATTCCACATGACAGGTTCCACAGGAGAGGATTTAGTGGACTGGAGTTATGCCTCTAATAATGACCAGTAAAGGAAATATGGCTTCTGGGCCCATCCTGCAGTTAAACAAAAAGATCAAATATATATATATGTATATGTATGCACACACACACACACACACACACACATACGCACACGCACACACACACGCACACACAAACATAATACACACATACAAATGTCTTTAAACACAGGACTACTAAACCAATATCAGAGTAGAAGCAGACTTAATATAATATATAATTTAACTAATATAAACTTACAACATGCACACAATCTATTTTTATTTCAGGCCTTCATTTCCTAAATTCATCTCTCTTCTATTCTACTACTTGTGTGTGAAGATATCAATGCCGGACTACCTTTAAACAGTAGGGGTCAGGATTTCTCATGTCATCTGCCCAATGATGCGTGATGTCAAGACTGTTTACTCTGTATCAGGCTTTGCATTCTTATCTCTGCCTGCGGTTTGTTTTCATGGATTCCATGGTTTCAATCTACAGATGACAATAACTCGGTATATTTTGGAAAGAAACAGCTAGACTTTAATCTTTCGTGTGTTGTATTTTGTAATCAACAGACCCAAGCGTGTCAAAACTCAATTTGTGTTTATAGTTCACCTGGAATCTCAAATATTTTCATCTTGAGTTACCATCGATGTTTGAGTAGTAGTACATTATTTGAGCTGTCTTTCAATCTCTTGATGTAGCACGTACATAATGATAGCCTTGACCCAGGTACAATAATCCTCTATTCTTTTGAACTACCTTTAAATGCAACAGGACAATAGCGCTGGAACAGGGCATGTCGGACCCAGAGGGATGGTGTGACTTGTTCAACTTGTTTTGGTTCGACAGAGTGTGCATGCAACCAGAGCCAGCTGTCTGTAGTCTTTGTAGTATTGAGAATAGTGAAGCCTGAGTAATAATGCATCTACTCAAATGGACTCGTATTACTAATTTCTAAAATGTTGGGGAATTGCGTGCAAATTCCTAAATTAGGGATTTCAATAGTAAAGGAGGTGATTGCTAAATCCTAATACATTTACTAGGAAGTAGGGCTGTAAGATATACTATTGATATAAAAAAAGAAACAGATAGATTTCCTCCACACTCTGCAACAGCACTGGCAGATATAATAAACATTATTTTTTACTTGCTGTGGATTGATAGCTGAAGCCAACCAATAACAAACATTTAAAGGTTTGTCATTGGTTGGCAATATTCGAAAGAACGATAGTGTCAATATTGTACTTGCCAAAATAGCAATAACTATTTGTTTTCTATCATGCAGCCCTATACAATCTAATTATCCATGCAAATAAATGTGACACAAAAATAGTACATGTTTATTAGTACTTAGTAAAATTGTGACGTCTATGACAATATTTTTCATCAGGAAATCCATCTGGTTTAAAATATATACTAGACCAGAGCAGATTTTAGCTGCTGGTTCCATCAGTGCTAGTTGGGCAGTGCTCTCCGCATGTACACATAATGAGTCTTGGTGGTTTGAGATCATGGGAAAGGCATGAGGTTTTAGCCCAGTGCTGCGCTCTTCCAGTCAGCCAGATGCTCCCAGAGCCTTGTGGCTTTGGAGCTGCATGGCTTCAATGCAGTTTTAGCACAGTTTACCAGTAGCTCGTAACAGGGGACTATTTCCGTTTCTTATGGAATACTTTTTTATAACAATCCTTCAACCATGACCTACAGACACTGTAAGACTTAAGAAGGAAATACCTCTGGACTTCCTCTCCAACTGTTCTCAACATCCTACCTTTCTTTTCCCAGCTCTCCACCCTACACGCACTCGCACAAACGCACCCACCCTCTCTCTTCATCCAGTCCAACATGCAACTTTGACTCACTGTTTTTATTCTGTTCCCAGGCAGTAACCAAGAAAAAATTTGGGAGCAGCGACTTCCGATCGGCGCTTGAAAACGGCGTGCTGCTGTGTGAGTAAGTACATGTGTTGAAAATTGATTCTGACAGAAGCCGACTTGTGTTGTGATGTTTTGCAAGCTGTGTTATTGTCATATCGTTATACCACTCAAGTCTTTCCACTGTCAGTTGCATGCGGTCTGCTTTTGTTTAATTTTATGGTATAATCTATTTCGAGATGGCTTCTATTGCCTGGTTGACAGATGTTACTGATTTGTTTATGGGGCAGAGTGCCATCTTGGATTTATGAGTGCTAAGAAAAGAAATGTAGTCAATGGAAATCCTCCCAGTTTCACCGCATATACTGGGAACTGTATTTTATTAATGGCAAGTATTGTCGCTGATCCTCAGGTTGGCAGATCTCACAAGCGTGTGTTTTGACACGCACATTGCACTCACTTACGCATGTTTATGTGGGTGCTAGTGGAGGATGGAGATGTCGAGGAGGTGATTTTCTTGGAATCAGCAAGAAACTGTAATTAGCAGCAGCCCATGCAGAATCCTCCAACTTCATCTGGCCACGGTTCAAAGTGTCCTGATCTGCTGATTTGAGTCTGACTCTATAGTCTTCGCTCCCTCTGTGAACTACATAGACATTTCTGACTCCAAAAGCGGTCGTTGTTTTGTCAGTGTGAGAGGAAGAGGAAGGCGTAGATTAAATCGCTTTCACCTAGGACCCCGGCCTCCAACGCCATTGTTTTGTTGTTATCACTAAGAGCTTGAGAAGGAATTCTTGGTGGGGGCTGCTGCACATATGATTACATCCTAGTTTGCAGCTTGCATGGGTTTAATACCATCATGGAGTGCTCTATTGTTTCTGTGCTAAATGAGTAACCTTGTTTTATCACACCCAGTCTGTCTGCTGAGAAAGCACTTCAATCTCAAATATAGATCAGTGGTGATGGTTGGTTTGATAGCTGCCATGCCCGCATTTTCATAGGTAACAGCAAAGCTGGTAACATTACATATACATAAACAAACAAAAAAACTATTTCCAAGCGCATACGTTTCAAAAAAATCTTCTTATCATAGTGATTTTTAATGTTAAGCATTACCCATTACAGAAACCACTCGATCTCATCTTTTGACCTTTTTTCAAATCGAATTTCAGACAGACTTCAGGATTCAATGGGAAAGTGTAGGAGAAGATGTGTATTTACATGGGAGTGCTTAACTGGCCATTTACTAAACTGAAGCCAGGTGGCACCATTAAACAAAGTCCAAAATACACAACACACTCATTGTGAGACTTTATTTTGGTCTGCCCTCGACAGTGGATGAATTCAAGCCAATGTCTTTCAGTTTTCACTTACACACTGTTCTTTTACAGTCTGATCAACAGCATCAAACCAGGGACCATCAGGCGAGTTAACAGGCTGCCCACACCCATTGCTGGACTGGTAAGCGTTTCCAAATTACCTCTTATTTTTTGTTTTTTATTCTTGAAAACTTATGGCTTGAGTATGGTACTAGTTTGCCCGAAAAGCGTTGCAGAAGGTGGGGTGACTGCTGCGGCTGAACACTCAGTGACATAAAGGTCTTCTCCTCTGACTCTTGTCACTGCCCATATCCATCCACACTAATAGGTTCATTGAACATCAGGCGACTTGAAAGGCCACTCACCACATGTGAGTGCTCCCAAAATATGACAGTCTGTTTGAAGTCATAGGAAAAAGCTGTAGTGACAAGACAAATTTGTCTAAAAGTTTTAGTTGGCAAGATAGAAGAAGATAAAATGTTCAATTGCAAGTTGCGAAGGCTTCTTCATATTCACCAAGCTTTCTTTCTGGCTGATGAAATTATTTGTTCAAGCCATATTTGCTTTAGAATTATAGTTCTATTGGTAGATGTGGTTTGTGTAACCAGTTTTTACCTTCTGAAGTTGCCTCGGTTACTGCCATTATTAATGTGGTTGTATTATTTTGCATAGGGCTGCTAATCTCAACATCAAACAAAATTCAGAAACAGAAGTGGGTGGGGCAGATTGAGATTATTTGAAAACCTTCTCTGCTCTTCTCCCAATGGTAATATAAAACATTGTGCTGCATCATTGCTTTTGGTATTTTCATCGCAAACAATTGTTCAAGGTGTTTCCAGTTAAGGAAAGTTGAAACATTCACAGTTGTCTTGTTAGCAAAACACAGCCCTGAGATGATACTTAAGCACTTATTATGTTTTGCAAGGAGACAATTTAGGAGCTCTCGAGACAGGCTGGCACTTACGCGTATTATGTAAACAACAAATACAAAATTCCTCCAGGTTTGTATTGGGATAATGACTAACACGGCTGTCTGGGGCACCTGCAGAGATAATGAGCTCCAGTATCTCTTACCTCAGTAGCACTAGTTTGTTACTTCCAGGCCCTCAACTTAAACCTCTCCATCATGAACTCTCCAGCAAATGTGAAGCCTCTGTTGGCCCCCAGCTATCAGTTACTGCCAACCGCACGGAGAAAAGTACTCCAAACAAACATTACTTACACGCTCCCCACTGCCAGTGTAATCTTCCTCCTAAAGTCATCAGGCTTGTTAACAATGTTTGGTCTTCTACATATTGGGAGCTATTCTAGAGCTCAAGCAGAACCGTGGCTCAAGCAGTGAGATCGTGATGTTTTAAACACTTTGGTGCAAAAAGTGTGGGAAAGGCCTTGGCACGTTATAAACGTGGCTTGTGGGAGAAAACAAGGACTGCTGCAGGATTCAAAATGACATTCTAAGGTTCTTATGGTCGCACTTTCGAGCATTTAGAACTATGACATATACTGACTTATTTGTACGCCTGTGCCGTGATATGTAAAACTCAAATAAAGCAGTAATTAACTACACACAAAATAATCGGAAATGGGTTTTTTTTTTTTTTTAAGTAAAGCAGACTTTTCTTGGGAAAAAGTCTATTTGGATGGCCTCCAGCGGCTTAATTTCAACTCAATCTGGGCGCAATGAGATCCAATATTATTTCTCCTACCATCAGCTGTCTTGCTTGCCATGATTCATGAAAGTGAATTTGTTAGATTTTAGCTGATACTAAATTTCATGGGCATGTAGTGTGATATCTATTCCTGTACAATGAGAAATTGTAAATGTTCTGTGGTGCTATTACGTGCAGTATATCATACACAGTTGTCAGATTTCATTTGGTTAACTTGTTTGTTAACAGAAATAGATTCAAGATCCTTGATTTTTATAGCTGAATATACAAGCAGGGTGAAAGTGGCGAGTTATGTTTTTGAGGGATATTCTTTAACACTGTCAGCTCTGCAGCGTGTGCTCTCCGGTTTCCAGCGTGTCCGCAGTTCTGTGGTCTGCACGCTTGTCTTGTGACGTCTGATTGTGGGGTGCACTAACTGCTCAGTGGGATCAGGTGAAATCAACATCAGCCCTGATTTTAGACCTGCAAGTCCGAGCCAGACTTCATGACTGCACTGTAAAAACACTGTAATTGACACAGTTCTGCATGTCCCCACAAACACCAACTCCTCTGAGCTCGCTTCAAGGCCCAGAGGCTCCTGAGCATGACCATATTAGCGATTATGTTTTTGACTTTTTGAGGGCATGTTATCACTTGGGTTGGATTTTTTAATGAATTAAAGTGATTCCCACATGGACGCAGGCATTATGGCCTCATAGCAATAATAATGTAGCCCTGTAAAAATAATGCATTGTGGTCCTATATACATCGCCTAGAAGTTGGGGAACCCTGACTCTAGAATCATGGTACCATTATTATAAAATCCCTGTCACGTGGGTGAAAAACAAATGAGGCCCAAAAAGGCAAAAACTGCAAAATTATGGATTTAATGAAAGTAATACAAATCAAGACCTACCAAAAACACAGGGAACAGACAGAACTAAAACAGAATAGGAATGATAATGACGGAACAGGGAGTGAAGGAACACACAGGGCTAAATACAAGACTAGTGAGACACAGGTGAGACAGATGAGGACAGGGCAGGTAATCAGACAACAGGAAGTACAACCAAAGAAGACACAGGGATAACACATTTCAAAATAAAACAGGAAATAAACTTAAACCATGTCAATCCCACCTTCATCTACCCCCATCAGAGGGTTTCATTAGGGTTTTCTTGTTTGTTAGTTTGCAACATACAGACATACGCAACACAAAGAAAGGGTGGATTTTGGAGGAATTCCAGATTAGCCTCTTTTTAAGGAACTCGAAGAGGTTTGCGCACTAATCTTCTTTTTTGAATATTACAAGATATTTTAACTTTTAATTCTATTTTGTCTAAGGTCTTTTGGGGTAATTGTTATGTCCCTTTTAGAACACAGCGACTGAAATAGAGTGGCCACAGTGCAACCATGTGGTAAAATGAGCTGGCTGGACCATGAGACAGTTTGAAGGGACTCTTTTCATTTCTCTTAAAGGTGAAGTTTGTATGACATGATTAGAGCTCTGGGAAACCTACAGTATTTTAAAGGATTGTATTGCCACAGAGCATAACAGTAATATCTCTTCTGTTATTGCGTCATATGTCATACCCCCTGCTATTATACAAAACTATAAACTTATTTGTTAGCGTCATTTCAAATGTAAATGTTGCACCTATAAACAAAAGCTGATAATCATTTACATAATGAGGGTTGTTTCTTGAATATATCTTGTGGTTAGTTTCGATGTGGTCTGTTTGGTAATCCATGTGGTAAACGATAACTTGATTGGTCTAATCTATTTTTGATTTGACTGCATTTGTAAGACAATAACACAGATCTGGGAAACATTCAAAACAGTGATGAAGAAACTATGTCTGTAACAAAAATGTGATTGAACTTTGACCGTGCAGGGGCCGCTGTAACCCCCAGGGCATTGCAAAGCTCTGTTTATGGGCACACAGAGCTGAGGTTGTCACTCTATAGTATTTGCTAATAAGCATGTAGGGAATTTAAATATAGTGATCTTAGCCCTTAATCATGGTAGGCCATGTTAAGCCTTGTGTCATTAAAAGAGAGACTTTTGAGCAGGCTAATCCAGTGGGAAATGAAGGCTTACAAATAAGAAAAACACATAACTCAGCTGCCTTTGTGAAAATGTTGATAGTGTGTACTTTTGTATTATGACTCATACATTTTCTAATTTTAAACAGAATTCAAACAATATGAAATGATTGACACTTGTAGGAGGTTAAGCTTGCTCTTCTTGAGTTGCTTCGGGGAAATATTTCTCCGTTTCTGTCACCGGACCTCATGTTTCATAGCAACCAAATGTCTCCAAAATACTTCACCACCCCACAGATTCCACAGGTATTCTCGAGTAAAGGGCTTGGCCGAGGGGAGGCGACAGTTTCAGGGTGTGATAAGAAAGAGACCGCACAAGCAGGCAGGCAGTGTGCTCTTGTGTCATTCCTGCGTTCATCGCGTGCTTATTGAGGCGGTACAGAGTTGTGATGTCATTCTTCCTGGTTTTGAGTCCCTACCTAAGTCCCGCCCATAGGTATTCCTGATGCTTTCTGTCTGTCCGAGCCCTCCCCACACCCCCTACATGTGTGTTTGTGTGTGTTCAGCCCTTAGTCGTTCTTTATTTGCTGCACTGAGCTCCTCCCTATCCGCTCCTGTGCTCTGGTGATATGAACTTTGAATGCAATGACTTGTTGGCTGTTTCCCTGTCACAGAATTGAAGAGAGATTGTTGTTTAGGGGCAGTCCTCATCCTTGTTCTGATTTCTGCACAGGACAACCTGAACGTCTTCCTCAGGGCCTGTGGCAAGCTTGGACTAAAAGAAGCACAGCTCTTTCATCCCGGGGATCTCCAAGACCTGTCAACAAGAGTGACTGTCAAGTAAGTTTATAGCTTTATAGCAAATTTCATTTAAACAGAAATGGCATGTGGAGTTCTTAGGTCCTGCACAAACTTTGAACTTGTAAATGAACTGTAAAGCATGATTGTCTTATTTGATAATACACACTGTAGTGCATACATAGACACATGTTCCCCCATGTGCGGGAAGCTGGCCATGAGGAAGAGGAAAAGGTCAGGACTATTTCAAGATGTGTGTGTCTGTAAGCACCTGTTTACGAACCACAAATCTATTTATGATCAGAACAACAAAAACTGTCCCACCGAGGATCCGCACACAACCATGACTTTTGGGCGGCACAACAGCTTCGGACTATTGCTTGGTGTTTTGAATGAAGCACATGCAAATTCGTCATTCAACATCAGCTTCTGTAAACATGGCATGTTCAGCTTTTTTTGTTCCTCACGCAGAACAACTCACATGGTATGTTGAATGACCTGTTCGGTTTAGAGAGGCGTCTTCTGCTGAAACTGAGCCTTTAAAATTTATTATTTTAACATTTTACCGCAGACATACAATATATTTCATTTTTGTCACTGTCAGGGTAGGCATAAGCTGGTATCATAGCATTATTGTAGGTACATTTACTGGAACTTGAAACCAGTCCAAACAAATTTATTGTCATGGCATTCTCTATTCAAGCCTTTAACTGCCCTGTGATAAAAGGTTCACAAAATGGCTGAAAGAGTGTCATAAATTTTGAGATTGTGTTTTTACATAATGCATTATCATTTTTACTGCATGTGTGCCTGTGTGGTCAAAAGGGGTCATTCCTATTCCCTATTTTTAGTCTTGCAGGGGTCACTTTGGCTCATCTAGGATCAGGGCTGACTCCCGAGGGCTTTTATTAGTGGCATGTTTTTTTTTTTTTTGACTCTGTCTGTGTGTGACCCTTTCAAGACTAGGAAAAGTAAAAAAAAATAAAAAAATGATAGACTGGTAACAGAGGAACAATGAAAAGAACAATATCAAGATACATGCAGCGGCCATTGACTGTTTTTTTCTTCTGTTGTCCATACCAGTGGCTAACTAGGCAAATGAGTTTCAGTGTACAACAGAGACGAGAGAAAGTTGTCGATCAGCTGTCTTTCCCCATGGTGTGTGTCCAAGCTCCACTCCCTTAAACCCAGTCTGACAGGTGCTGTGCTCAGCTCTTCTGTGTACAGTTTCAGCAGACACATGCTTGTTGTTGTTGTCTAGTTTCAGCTTAAACCAAGCGCCTAATTAAAATGACGAAAACAAAAAACATACTGAAATGCAATCTTAAAAATTCTAAATATGAAGAACTGCCCTCCTCTGAGAACCACACTGTGCAGCTTAAAATCTGACACATTTCATATTTATAAAGTTTCCTATAATTAGTTTGAACAAACAAGAATGAAGCTGTTCTGTGTTTTGTGTATCCAGCAAACCCATAAAAGTTATTGGACATAGACTGACCTTTGAGCTCTGCAGTTACAATAGCCACGCCACCTGAAATTACAGCTTTCTCTTGTGAAATCTCCTTTGAAATAAATGTCTTATCAGTAGGAAATAAATTCAATTTCAAGCTAGTCGTACAGCATGAACAAGTTAGATAGACTGATAAGAATGTCCCATTGTTTGAAACCCAACCGTCAGAATGTGATTCATCTAAAAACACAATCCTTTTCACCAGAGCAGCTGCCAAATGGAGAGTTCTAAATGACTCATTTTGAACTATGCCATTACAGCTGCAGTCACTTCCGCTGGACCTCTTCAGAGCCAAATGGTCACTCTGGCACTTTCCTAATGACCGTCAATATTTACATTTGATGACTAAGAATAATACGTGAGCTACAATTAGCCAATGTTTAAACATATAGTTAGTTACATACTGTATATACACTACAACAACAATAAAATTTGAAATTGAATATTGTTGTTTTTGCCGTCAAATCATCTGAAGAAGTGTCATCATTGTTTCTGGCTGAGATACTCCACTCATTTTCCCACTCTGTAAGACAGATGATTGCTAAAGTAAATACATTTATATTTAAATGTGAAATTTTAGTTTCCTTTGATTTTTTGTGACCAATGATGGTAATTATTTGTCTAAATTGATTCTCACACACTTTTGGCTTTGAAACCATTTCAATCTTAAAACTGTGAGCCATGTTTCTCTAGACAACAATTCTAGGAATTAAATGGATTTGACCTTAAATTGAATAAATAATGTATTGATGATGATTAACTGCTATTACCAAGTCTCTACTGACTGAGAGATGCCCCCCGCTGAGAAGAGGTCAAAGTCTCTCTCATTTGATTAAGCAAATTATTGACAAAGGTTGAGTGCTGTCCAAATGAGAAAGTGTATGTGCCCTTTAAACATTCTGCTGTAAGAGGAAGAAACAGAAAGAGTCACTGATAGTAGTAGAAATAACAATATAATGAATCTCAACAACGGGTTATGTTTTCGACCGGATCAAAAAGTTTTACCCGATTTTTATGGAAATGTCCGGATCACTGTGTGGATCCAGTAACTTAGAAGGTCTGTGTTCTATGAGTGCGTCTCTAGTTATACTATGTTGAAGAGCCAGATGATTATGAAACATGGCTAAATCTATAAGAAAAATTAGATCATTTTTCTATTGCTGTCTTTCATTATTTACATACATTTGCTTGGGCTGAGGATTACATATTTAGTTTACTTTGAATAGGAGCAATTTGAGTTTTACTTCTTCTCAGCTGATAGGACATGACACAACTGTTTTTCTGTTTTGTTTTTTTCCACATCCATAATAACAACATTGAATAGCAGTAAATAGACAAGTCTTACAGTTGTGTTTCGCTGATGGGGAGAGACGCACCAGCCTCACCCCGTGTCCACAGAGACTGCACTGTCTAAGATTATGACACAACGATGCCAGACAAATGCTTTTCACACACAACTAAACTGGGATGTGGAGGCGCCTGGGTGTGTGGTACATTTCTGTTAATGAGAGAATATGCTTAAAGGATGGCCCATGTGAGGGAATGTACCCAGGCAACTATCATCCCAAAAGAGGTATGCTTAGCTTCCACTTTGCAGCACACCCATTCATTTCAGAGCTTTTGTTTGTTGCTAATTGATGTCATTGTCTTAAATGTACAAAGTTGGAACAATGTCATTACAGGCTGGTCTTGAATGATTCTTCCTGGTATTCCAGTGTTCAGCATGTGGGCCATAGACAGACTAAGATTAATATGTAGAATCAAGGGGACATTCTTTGCTGTATGGCTGCATTTACTGTTTATTCTATTGCATCATAGTTAATATTTGTTTGGTGACAGACAACAGTTTGCGGTTGCAGTTATATGAATTAAATCGTTTGTCAGTGTGTGGCAAGGGAAACCTGGTAATATGTCAAGTCTGGGAAAGCTTTTCATCTATCGGTTTTGCTGTCATCACTTGAGGGACAATGTCTTCCTTTAAGTGCTGAAATCACTTTGTAGTTTAGCGTGATGCTTTGATAATTTGTCTCAGACTTGTCTTGACACATAATCATAAGGAAACTCAGCTGATTTAACATACAGTCACTCACGTCCTCAGGCAGCATCCAGGCTTTATCAGCGCTTCTATTCATTTACTACAACAGAAATAAATGTCTGCTATGGGAGCGGCCGTGGTAATTCTCTGGACCTTTTTTAAGTTACCACTGCTATAATCCTCAGCTCCAAGCCGCACAAGTTATTTTCCCGCCTCTTTTATGGAGCTCATAAATTTGTGATGCCAAGTCGGCAAATGTCAATTGCAGTTTCCATCATTAGCACTGAGCCATTTTGAAAGCTTTTCAATACTGTGTTATGTGAGCTTATGTTGATCAAGACCACACAGCATATTGTAGTTGTAACAATAGTAATACAAAAAACAATCTGAACAAAGCTCTAGTTTATTAATGACTCTCATTCTATTCTAGAAATGTGCATGTTGGAACCATCTCTCTTTATTTTGTCTTGGATTATGTCCATAGTACACAGGATGGCTAGCATTCCATTCGATAGACGTAGAATACAGTATGTAGAATCATATTTTGAAAGTTACTTTGAAGTATTTAATCAAACTACACACTGGGTTGTGAGTATTTTTGATTATGCTTACTATTATACCATCTCATAACATTGGTGCTTGATCATTCCACTCAAAGTTACATTTTGACTGTCATGCATGGCAAGCCTAATCCTGTGTTATTAGAAAGGAAGGATGGTTTGTTAAAATAGACAAAAATAAATTAGTGTTATGCTAAATTGCATCAGCTGGGCCTCTCCCGTTCTTCAGTCTTGCACAGGCAGTCACTAGATCTTTATTTTAATTATTTATTTTATTTATTAAAGGGACAGTGCATATTAATATACGTTATACATGGAAATTTGCCAGAATTAGCCTAAGGGCTATTTTCCATCTGTAGTCCCTGGACAGTTGTTATGTGTCCTCCTGAAAGGAATAAAATTACACATCTTGCTCTAATTTTTCATGTAAAGGTAAAACAAAATAAATCAAGAAATGTACAATGTGCAAAACAGGAGAATGACGGAGAAAATAAGGAAAATGATAATAATAAAGTACAAATAAATAAAGATAAAAACTTGACTTCATTATATACATGTTCACGTACACATCCATGCACACATACGAATAATAATATCCTTTTTAATGAATCATACTTGCCACAAGCACAGGTTTGGAACATTCAGTCACTGTTTTGCCCATAAATCTTTTTCTATGTTGTCATCCAAGGAGCTGTGCGACTTTGACATTACATGTGGCTGTTGTTACTTGTGTGGTACTTCTGTTACCGCGTGAGACCTGGAATGTGCAAGTCCTTGTGAAAGGGTCATATTTCTCTCACTGTCACTGCTGCGCTTACATCCTGCATTATACTTATCACATTTTACAGCTCTCTGTAAATACCAGCCACATAGACACTTTACTCATGTTGTGTTTGTCTTATGGGATCAGGATGGGTTTGTTTTGTTTCCACACAGACGGACAAGCCAGGTAAAAGTGATTTAAAGACTGCAGAGGTCAAAGGTGCTCCAGAAATGACTGGAGCACAGTGCACAGTGCATAAACCATGTGTTATTTTCGTCAGAGGTTGTCGTTGCAAAGTTACATTTCAATTAAACATTATTAGACGGTCTAGTTTTGTGTGTAACACTGATTTAGATTCACATTATTCTATAATTTAACCCTATGTGTTCTTCTGCGTTTTTACACTTGGCAAGGCAATGTTATTTGTATAGCACAGAGCAAGAAAGGGATGGTTTGAATACAGGCATTTGTAATCATTGTACATTCATTCAGTTACCTCAGGATTTGGTGGGCGATGTGGCTGACTGGGGCAATGAAAGATGAGTCAAATGCAGAAAATAGATTTCCCTTCAGGGATAAGAAAATTTTGTCTCAACGCACACTTGATCCATGTTAAATTACTTTGTTCAAATTACTATTGGCGAGCAGGCAAATGTTAACCACAGGGAAACAAGTGATATATATGAATTTCAGGTCAATCCAACTCTGAAACTATTTCCCTTCACCACAAAAATGCCTTGAAATTAGCCTTTGCAATTACAAATCAGAAACAATAGTTGAACTCATTGAATTCTAGCTCGGTGTATATTATAAATGATTGTCGAGCACACAGTGGCTTTAATTGTTCTCAAGTGAGCTTATTTTAGTGCAGGGAACAGTTGCCAGTGGTCAGGATTGTACTGTGAGTTTCCAGTGCTTTCACAAACACACAGCTCCACACAACATCCCCTCTGTTATGTTATTTTATTGTCATTTTCTCTCACACTCACCACAGCTTTCTGCTCTCTGCCTTACAGAGCCGAGGAGACCAACCGGAGACTTAAAAATGTGAGTGCACTTTAACTTTCTCATTAATAAATATTTTCCTCTCAAATATTACGTCAATTATAATTCATGCATTCAAAACTTGACTGAACTGTGTTAGCTAAAGCTGAGAATTTAGTGCATTTTTATGATGTTATTAATATCAGTTTTTATTGTTATTCTCTCTAGGTGTTGATTACTATTTACTGGCTTGGAAGAAGGGCTCAGTGTGACCTTGTATATGATGGACCTTACCTAAACTTAAAAGCCTTTGAGGGATTGTTGGGCACGGCACTGTACAAGGTAAACGTCATTGAAGGCTTATGCTTTAAAAATATTTCATTTCGAGACCCCAGGAGGTACAATTAAAATCCTCATGCATTACCCTCTTTGCTTATTTATATTCTCTCTGGTATGTGCACAATGTGTTGAAGAATGCTGGTCACTAAACCAAAGCCATGTTAACTCATAAATGTCCAAATCCTTTGACTCAACTATTTTAATCTGGTCTGCAGTCCCATACAGTTTACCAATCTGACAGTGTAAATAGTGGAGCAGCCTCTTCATACACACATCCCTGCTGAATGTGGCACCTCTCTTCCATTTTGATTTGTAGGCACTGTCTCCTATAGCGGCCCCCATACTGTAGTTAGTATTTAATTTAGAGTTAACCTAAAATATGATAAGACTCTGGCTACAGCTTTTGTGTAATTTTATGGGCTTTAGAGATTTTAAATATTCTGTTTTGTCACTTCATTCATGTTCGAGCTTGTCAATATGTCTCCAAGGCTTACAGAAAGACTATAATTACAGGAACATTTGTACATTATGGCACTGCATGTTTGACAGACAAGACACCTTTATAAACAGACAAACATTTCATTATATTTTAAATAAGAGGCCGCTTAACCTGGGAGGTCTGTGCTATATCTTTCTGTATTTTTGTCAATGAAGGCTCTGCAAGAGTCATCGTCCAGTCTACAAAAAGACAACAGCATTTTGCGAGACAGTGGTTTTGGAGAGAGCTGGTACTCAGAACAAGACCTCCACTTTGGGAGCGGAGGAGGGGGGCACCGGAGAGACGACTCCCTGGACAGTTTGGACTCACTGGGATCTCGACCACACAGCATTTCATCGGACATCAAAGGCAGCAGTGAAGGTGGGAGACGTGATTACATTACACATCATTCTTCAAGTCTAAAGGCACTATTTACATCTCTTGTGAACAATAGCTTCTGGCTCTTTTTAAATTCTCAGGCACCAAAGTGTTAAATTCTTTTCAAAATATTTCCCTCCAGTTCATTTGCCCTGAACCTAAAATATTTGTGAACAGACAAGATGTGAAAGATCTGAGCCAGAAATCTGACTCCCATATGAGATAACAAATATCCGATGCCATCTAGTGGTGTCCGATGGAACACAATTCATTTCATTGAAAATATAATGGAAAGTCCATCATCATTTTTGATTATTATTATTATTGAACTAGTTATGGGCGTTCATGTGTTTTCATAATCATATACAATTAGAATATAAAAAGGTTTATTTAAAATATTGGTTTTGTTGAAAACATCTGTCTGAACTTTAGGAAGATCTTTCAATATAATTTATTTCTCTGTGTTTCTCACACTTTTCATGATCCAGGATTTTGCAGTGACACTGAGCCAGAGCCTGTCTTCAGGATGGCTGACAAGGATAACTTGAGTTATCGCCGGTCAGCTGTGATTGCGCCTAAGACAGCTACACAGTTTAACCAGTTCCTGCCCTCCAAAGACAAAGCTCCAGCCTATGTGCCAGCTCCTCTAAGGAAAAAGCGAGCAGAGCGCAATGAGGACAGTCGACGCAGCTGGACTAGTCCCTACACAGAAGAGGACATCCCTCTCACCAGGTATGAACACACACTATGAAATGTTTATATCCAGTAACTACGGTTTATACTGGTGTGAGTGGTGCTGGATGTTTACTTCAGTGTTGGGTTTACTATTATTATTGACTCCATCTCGCCTGACTGCTCTGTCAGTAGAGTGTCCCCGGTGCCTGCAGCAGGGCAGCTGTGGACCTATGACGACAGTGGAAGTGACTCTGATCTGGACCGCCCTGACCCTGACCTGGTCCTGGACGATCTGGCCAGCAGACGTTTCCACAGCCCCACCCCCTCCACTCCCACAAACTTTGCCATGCCCCTGAGCCCTCTGGCAGGCACTAAGTCACCTGAGGCAAGGCATGGACCATGGCCACAAGTCAATCTGAATCCTGGCTTTATCCCACAGCAGAGTGTGGTTTGTCTCAGGTCAGAGCAGCCCCGGTGTGAATATGGCATGTTGTCCTCGGGAGACAGTGCTTGTTTTAGTTTACATCAGCCATAACCTCCTGCAGACTTTATTATGCTCTTTCTAACTTAGAAGTTCTGGGATTGATGTTGGTTTTTGTTGCAGTGCTCCTTGATTTCTAGGCTTGCAGGGCCAAGCTATCAGCATAATAAGTGAAATTTTGGTTTTGCAGCTTGCAATTGTTCACTCATCCTTGCATCATTTCAATTGAATTGACTGGCTGAAAACAATGCTCCTTTTTGCTCTTTTTGCGATTGGTTTGCTGTGCATTTCAAAATACTAGTGTGATTCATGTTTGGTTGGCTGTCTCTTTTGAGCAGCAGAACTGGTGACAGTGAGTGTGGAGATAATCCCTCGCCCCAGCGCTCCGCAAGGGTGGACCACAGCACGGGCGTGTCATCTCATAGTCTATTCAGGGATGTCTACATCGACTCAGAGGACTCGGATGATGAGGTGGGCTATGCTGACCCTGTCCAAGATGATCTGTACGCCAGAAAGTTGGGTACCAAGCCCCAGGCTCCTGCTATGTCTCACGACAAATTCCTACCCAAATTTTGGACACCTGAAGAGGACGTTCATATTCAGAAAATCAAACTGGGCTCACAGAAACGACCCTGGTACAAGAAGATGCAAGGCCTCAGGTGTGTGAGGAATATGGCATGTCATGGAAGTAGTACATTTAAAAAGACATTACAATAACATAAGTCAGGATAAATGTCTCCATAATAGCTGCAAATTGTTTCTTGCTATGCTTTTAGAATCAATGCATCTGAATTTCATTATCTTCGAATCAATAGTGCATTTTCTCATGAATTCCTCATTTTCTCTCTCTGTCGTCTATTCTTTTCATGGTGTTTTCTGGCTGTAGCTACAAGAAATCAGGCTCGTCTTCGGATGATTCAGACTGCGACGTCAGTCCATGGGTCTCTGGACGCACTTCGTCTGGTCCTTCTCAGTCCGTTTCAAATAGGCCCTCTGCAGCTCCCACCACCCTTGTTGTGGGGAAAAGGTCGATACAGCTGCATGAATGTGACACTGAGGAAGCATACTACTAACCCTGGCTACAAACTAACTGGACTGGTATTCCTACTTGCTGCTTTCTAAAGAACTAATACAGTACTGTAATCATCAACTGTTGGTGAGCTTCACTCCTATTTGCACTGATCTCTGAAATAATCTGCTTTCCAGCTTGAATAATACTGATATGCATTAAGAAGTATGGAAATATTTGATCAACTTGTTTGAATCAAACTGTTTACCTTTTTAGTAAATGTCTCCATCTATTTTTCTTGCTCTGTCATCCCGTTTACAAGCATGCACTCATCACAACTCTCTCTCTCTGTCCTTTTCTCTCCCTTTGCAACCTGCAGTTCTTATATTGAACCCAACTCCCCACCACTGCAACTCCCAATCATACTGCCCCCTGTGTTAGTGCACCCTCCGTTAGTGTTTGCCCCTGTGGACCCCACCTCAGGCCCCAAGTTGGTGAAATGTGAAAAGTTTCCCCTCTATGGTCGCCCCCCAGACCCTCCTGAAATCCTGGATTATGACAGTTTATGCCCTGACTTGGAGAATGATGACATGTTTGCCAGAAGGACCCTTGCCTTTCAGTCCAACACAGACCTGGCAATGATGAAATTGCCCATTAGGTCTATACGTTACTCATCAGAACCTCAGCTCAATATCATTACTCAAAAACATGAGCACAGCACCGAAGAGGAGGAGGAGATCTTCCCGGACATAGAAGAAGATGATGTGGTTTATCGTAAGGAAAAAGTATCGCATGAGCAGCGCCCTCTCTCCGGCGGTCCTGATAACTACAGCCCCATGCCTATACCAGAACCTTGGACTCTGCCACCTGAACTCAAAGCCAAACTCCTTTGCCCTCCCTGCCCTTTAAACCAGGAAAAGGAATGCAATAAAGCAGATATAATTGATAAAGGATTGCGCCCTGTCACAGATGATATGTTGATTCGAAAGCTGGAGGTGTGTAATAGAGCTGCTTTGATAAACCAGATGGGTCCTCTGGTGCCTTCGACCTGCAGTGACAAGGATTTGCAGAAGTGGCAGACTATTAGAGAAGCAAGTCAGATTAAATACAGGAAGAAACAATTAGTGGAAAGACTGGCCGCATTAAAGACATAGAAGGAACATATTTTGACACTGTGGATATTTGAATATTTCCTTTTACGGAGATTGGCTGGTGTGTTATGTGTTTGTTTTGTTAAAGATTGTGACATGCTTTTGTAAATACAAGGAGAAACATGTAGTTAATAATTCAGAAGATTTTGCTGTGTCGTACATTGTTGATGGTTCGATTATGTGTTCAATTTCTGTATTTTGCCAAGAAACGTATTCATAAAGGCTGAAAGTGAAAAGCTAATAAATATTGTATGTGACAATTGTAACATAAGCTGAGATTTGCCAACAAGTAGCCTATTTTTGAGCAATGACACTGGATTCAACAGTGTATTGACATATTGAGTGATATAGTGACATATTGATATATTAGTGAGTATATGCTTCGAAGACACGCACAATGTGGTTGCTTTGAACTGAAATGAAATATGAATAAACAAATCATTCTCAACATGTTTTGGAATCTGCTCCATGTTTTTCATGTTTTTGCATAAAGACATCCGTGAGAAGTGCCATAGTTCAATGTTACAGAGAAATAACTTCACACTCAAATGCGATGTTCAAAGTGCAGCAGCATCACAGTGTAGAAACATTTGACTAATGAACATGTCGACAGTCACTTCGCTCTGTGGATGAAGCCGTGAGATCCTAAAGAAATTTCCCATTGCAGTAAAAGAAGATGCGTTTCTATAGTAACATGAACACAACTCGACCCTAGTGTTTGTGGGATTGCAGCAGCACTCACAAAGCTCCATTTAACCTGTGTCTGGGCCATCTGGACTTACTTTGCCTTTTCCACATGTACTGTAAAGCCACTTTCCAATGACATCAGTCAATTTCTATAAAGGCAGCATTGTTTATTGAAACATATGTCTGCGCTGCTAAAAGGCTGCAGCAAAGAAACAGTACGTTGGCTATAGTGTCCCCAACCTCTTTTTTCTCATAAGGATCAGTATGAAGTATATGATGGGACCAGTAAGGCTGGTAACAGTAGAGCAATTCATACAACTTTACACTTGGATTAAAAAGAAAACAAAAGTCTGAAATAAAGTATTTATAATTATTTCCTCCAGAGAGTATGGGTCTACAACTGCACACTTTTGATTGTGTAGTTTGAGTAGTAGTTAAGTAAAAAGTAAGGAACAATTGACATTACAAGTATTAACTACATTATTGTTTTGTACATGTTCTTTATCACATTTATTCAATTCCTGGTTTGGCTTTAATGCACTCTCACATCTCCAAGGGGTCCATAACCCCCTCTTGTTTTAGGATTCCCGTATAATTTATCTACCCTGTTTGTGGTTCTTTCTTCATTTTATAGACAGCTCCCAAGACAGGACAGTCTCGAAGGGTGAGTTGATATGAGCTCTCAAGAATGTGGCACATTTGCTATAAGGGCTCTTCAGTTGCATCCTTTCTCCCTTTGCTTTTGTCACTACTCTTCTCACTCACCGGCTGCTAAAGCAAAAGCCGCTAAACGCTGACACATAACGTGGTGTATTGTGTGGCACGGGGCCAAGTTCAAGGGGAGGTTTAATGCTCGACAAAGCCCCATTGACAACGCAACAAAGTGGAAAGATGTGCGCACCGCTTGTACACTGGGTCATATGGCTGGAGTGCAGGGAGTCAGTCACTTTTAACAGCTTGTGATAACCCTATGATTCCAGTGTGATAGTTTGCCAGGAGGTGAGACTGCAGCGTTTTCTTTTCCATAACTTGGGTGCACTTTGATGTGTGTTGTTTGTGCTTGGTTTGCATACTAACATCATAATAACCTGTTTCAGCTGGACACATGGAATGGCATGCATGGTTTGAACACCATTTTATTTTAATACTTTTCCTCTCTTCGTAGGAGCAAATCTACAAATGATATTGACATGGACCAGGGCGCCGCAAGACAGATCCGCTATGAGGAGCTTCAGAAGTTTCGGGAGCAGATCAAGCACAGTGATGATAGGTGGCAAGATGTGAGTGACACATTTTTATCAAGCTAATCAGGTTTTTTTCAGATAATATGTACAAAGTATATCTATGAGAGAAATATTGGCAAGGATTCATGCGCAATCGCTTGTATCTCCTGACGGGTCTCCCTATCCATATGGAAGGCTGTATCAATAAACTTGAAAAACACATATATATATTTAATTGGTCCTATGTCAGTACATTTTTTAATTGCAAATTAGATAATATCTATTTATCAATTTTATTAATGTGTTGCCATTTATAGGCGTGTATTGCCTATAAACGCCACCACAACAATAGTGAGAAATTATAGTGATATGTAATCAGCGACCCCATTGTGAGATCAATAAAGTTTATCTTATCTTATCTTACAGTAAATACATATAATAAATAGGATTGGTTTAATTACATTTCTTACAATATGTAGAAGAATTTTATTTGTTGGCTTTACTAGTCTTTAAGAAGCATTTAGGTCATCCAGTCACCATTTCTCCAGGGAGGTGAGCCGGGAGGAGCCTGGAGCACACAAATAGAACACCTTCAAAAGTAGCTCTTCTGTTCTGTGCTCTTTTCACTATCTACAGCTCACAGACTTTTCACGCACTCATGCATCACTCTTTGTCACCGTTAGTGTGCTGTAAGAAAAATCCATTCCTGCACAGAGTTACTGAGAAGTTGTACTTTTTCTAGGATCTGAGCAAATGGAAATCCAAACGCAAAAGTGTCAACTTTGATATAGTGAAGAAAAAAGAGGAGCGGGAGAAGATAGAGGAGATAACGTTCAGCAGCAGCAAGAAGTCAAAGACCTTCAAGGAGATGCAAGAGGAGAGGTAGGTCACAGCTGCAACATGTACATGGACAGAACACTTGTTTAGGAAAATTCAGCAAAGCTTCTTAACCTTAAAATATGTTATGTTTCACTTTAATGCTTTATCTGTGGGCTACTTTAAAAGAAACGGTGAGTGACTAGATTGACAGTGCATTGTACCTAAAAGTCATTGAGAACAAGTTAATGTCGGTCAGTGCAGTTTGCGTCCCCATTACCATCATGTTTTGTGATCATATTTGGTCTCTGTTGAAAACCAGTGTGAAATGTCTATAAGTCATCTTTTTCTTTTCTTTTTGTGGTCAGAGAGAGCAAGAGGCAGAGCTTAGGCAGCAGACTGGGATCATTATCCTACATGGATGACGAAGACGTGTTTGAAAAACCTGATGCCGCCCCACGTGCCCCTTACAGCAGGAGCCACACTATTGACACTCCGCTCTACTCCTCTTCTTCATACCGCGAGTCTACGTTGAAAGAGGATGATCCGCCTCCAGCTTCCACCGCGACTGGCAGAGCAGCTTCTCCTGTGCCCGCAAGAGAATCAGTGAACGTCCAAACTACGTCTCTCACTTCTACAAGCTACACCTCCCACCAGCGTTCCCCTTCTCCCCCGGCTGCACCCAACCGTCGCCTTCAAACCAGCACAGCAGAAACGGTGACCACGACCTCCTCCTTTCTAAACTCTGCGCCGAAGGTGCAGGAGCCAAAGAGCCCATTGTTACCTCCCCAAACTGAGGTGCCCTCTGTTGAATCCCCGTTCAAACGGCCACAGCAGCAGATCCCAATGGAATCCAAGCCTCCAGTAGTGTCTCGAGTTTCCGCCTCCCTGCCCAGGACCTATCAGAGGTCGGATAGCGCCCGGCTCACCTCAGTCGTTGCACCAAGACCATTTGGAACCCAGGCGACCCGCGTATCCTCACTCTCTCGAGCCAATACAGTGAGTCTCAGTAAATAATCGTAAATAATAATAGCTGAATCGGTGTCAACTATGTATAGTTTAGCATCACTAGCATGTATGTACACACAATACACTAGTCTTGTGTCAATCCGACCTAAAAACAACAAAATACCTAAATGAATGGTGCATTTTTCAACTGTCCTGGTGGTGACCTGATTTTCATGAAGTGGTCCGATACATGTTCTTGTTAATTTATTTGGTTTGGAACATTTTAGTGCTTATAAAATGTTCATTGAGAATACTCATCTCTCTACGTATACGTGACTTGTAATTTAGCCTTGCCTAGTCTCATTTCCTATATAAAAAGAAAGTATGGTGACAAACTGTATAAATATTCAGGCAAAACAACAACATTAAGAAGAACCCAATCAAAAAGCGGGCGTGGACCGTTGGGGAATGCACTTTTATAGTATCAATCATTCATTAAAAGAGGCTACCTAATTGTTATTTTAAATCCACATGTACGTAGGAGTGTGTAATATTTTACAGTCATCACAAGTTAGTACAAAGGGTGTGTGCCTGTGCGTCATAGCAGAAAATGAAACATAAATCATTTCACCATTGTTTTGTGTTATGCCTTTAAAACTTATATTACTTACTTTATGTCTGGTATTTATGTCCTGTTTCCACCTTGTCAATCCGCATAATGCATAAGAATATCTTTTGCTCTTTGCAGACGGATGACTCTAAGAAACCTGTGAACGGTGACACCTCTAAGAGAGCGTCCGTGCCGAGCCGTTATCACCAGTTCATGACTGCTGAGGATGAAGCAGAGTCCAGCTCCGCCCAGAGCAGCGAAGACGAGGCCAGCGCAGAGAAGAGCGCCACCTCTGAGGAAATGAAGAGTGAAACCGCAGTCAGCCCTGCTCCAGTTAAAGACAGCAGCCAGGTCAGGGTCCTCTGTGCACAAGGAGACATAGAAATATAGTTAAATGGATGTTAAAACTCTTTAGAATGCATACTATTTGTATATTCGCTATAAATAAATAAAACATTATGATATCTTATATATAGCACATGAGCCATGAATATAGGGAATGTGAATAAAGTAGGGTCTTAAAACTGGGGCAACTTTCAAACAACAAAAACAGACAGAGAGGATCCATGTAACTAGATGCTTGCTCTTAAAACATGCATGTATATTTGACCACATTTTTAGATCGGCCTTTTCAGACAAGAAAGTGAAAAATAGTGACTCATGTGGCCTTTATACACGTATGCAAAAGATAACATGTTTTGTGTTGTGGTTTGATTACAAGACACTTTATGTTGGGACAAGTAGATGAAGTAAGGTACCCCAGTTTTAATCTTGAATTAGGATTAGCAACAGTAGCGGAGGTATTAAAAGGACATTCATTTTTCATGACACGACTGCATCTAGGTAACAGAACTTGATTTCCTCGGGTTCAGAGAAAGCTATTTTGTCGAAACATTTATCTTTGACCTGGACTTCCTATTGTCCTGTCTTTAGGAGAGCTTCTGTGAGACGAGGATAAGCCTGAACCAGAAACCCAACAGTAGCAGAGACTTCGGCTTCCAGGCAGATTGGGACTCTACTGGAGCACGTGTCACGTCCATCGTCAAAGGTGATCATAATCCAACATTTTGAACTTACTGCAATGAAGCAATAGCAGTTTACTCTTTCAGCACTTTTCAGCTTTAACCAAATGTTCTGCTAATAATACAAGATCCTAGTTTTACTGCTTTGACTAGTTTATACTTCCTCTATTACGTCTTTATCTCTTTATTCCTGTTTATAGTGGAAAATAATCAGTATTTCCGGCTGTTCTTTAAAGGTCATTTCAAATAGTGTTTTAATAGAAATAATGGTGTTGGCTCAGTTGTGTTTTACATTAAGTCAGCTGTCTGCTGGTTTTCCAGACCACTGCAGTGATGATGTCAGGACTATGTAGGGCAAGTTCTATATGGGTCAGATCTGCTGGGTATGAGCCTCGCCTTCTTCGAACTTTTTTCCATTTAGCATGTGATGATGAAAGTATATATTCCACCAGCAGAAAAGTAGTCATGTGGTTACGGTGGTGTTCCCAAACCGTTTATAATAACTGCATTAGTCATTGTTCCATAGATCTAAGGACAGTTGATGTCCCAGATCATCAACTGTCCTTAGATCTTCCTGCATATGAAAGGAAAACTCGAACACCCTCTGGGAGACCTCTGGGACACCCACAGTGAGAGAGGGGTTTTATTACAGTACATGTATTTTATTGCTCAATACAATCGCAGGTCAGATTGCCTTCCCACAGATCTGATCTGATCAGATTGTTACATCAGTGAGCGTCACTAACCAATGCCATGAACAAGCAACCCAATTGTAAAGCAAAATTTAAACGGTTTAGCTTGTATAACATATTCCTGCATGTCTCAAAATTGTAGTATGTAGTATATTGTAGGCATTCCAGAAAGACTGATACCAGACAAAGTAAAAATATTTTCTGAAGATAACAACAGGTCATTTTGTTACACAGGAAGCCCCGCTGAAATGTGCCAGCTTCAGCCCGGGGACGAGGTGCTGACGGTGAACGGCCAGAAGGTGGCAGGCATGAGCTACACGTCCTGGAAGAGCCACATGGAGGAGGCTTTGCAGGAGGGCAGTCTGGTCATGGATATAAGGCGTCATGGCAAGAACAGTGAGTCATATCTCCTGTGTGTTGAAAAGGCTTTTAGTGGAGTCAAAGTGGGAGGCTGGCTATTACAGGTGAAGTAAGGGTTAGATTCTTGAGATGACAGAATAACTCAGTCTTTATGCATTACTAAATACTTTTGACACCTCAAATTGGTCCGTAAACTATTGTTGAATCATCCATGAATGAGACTCTGACAGAAAAACGGTGAAGGTGTGCCAACTGCTTTCCTCTGTTCACACGGGTTACTGCATTTCCTTATGGGGGTGGTTGCTATTTCTAATTACATTGCACTGTATTGGTATTTCTTAGTATGTTCTCTTTGCACTATACTTATTTTATTTAGACTTTGATTTTGTGGCAAACTTATCCACGCCAAGCGCATGTTTCCCTGGGTGAAAGAGTGCTGCTTTTTTCACAGCATTAGTTTAAAAAGATGACTTGTTCCATAGTACGTCAGTCTCACCTTACAGAAATAATACCTCACCCTAAGTAGCTCACTTAAACTAACACGCTGAGCTTGTTAAAATAGCTGTAGTTATTACAAATGGCTGTGAGCCTGTTTGCCACATTGTGTGAGTTTCTAAAGCTTTTATAGAGTGCATGGCTGGGAAGGTGGTTTCTCTGGTACACCCTGCTATTCCTCTTAACCACACTTTAACCTGGTCCCTTGCTTATTTGTGGTGCACAAATTTGAATATGTTTTTTAATGTATATACAGTCATCAGGCATTGCATTATGTCCACACATAAGTTAGTGGAAATACTATTCTGGTTGCATCAATCATTTGTCTAATTTACAATAACTTTCAAATATTATATCTCCTTTAAAACATTTGCATATTATGAGGCCTCAATATGTTAACTTTACTGCAAAACACTGTAACAATGCTTTCCATCCTCTTCAATTAAGAAGCTCTTTTGTGTGACTAATAAGGACAAAGTTGAGATGAATAGAGGAAATCAATCTGTACCTTCAAATCGATTGATCAGCATTAAAGCAGTGAGAATATTCACATGGGGCTGGAGGGCTGACCTTTGTGAGCTCACATCCATGAAGATAATGTTAATGTTGGTTCAAAAAGTAGAGAGGTGTCAGAATACAGAAACATAGCCCATAATGTGATGCCTGGTCGATTTATCATACAGATATAAACATGACTGTACATCCTATCTTTGCCATTGCATTACATGGATGCAGACTGGAACAGAGACCAAAATTCCCTGCCATATAAAAGCCATAAGACCATCAATCTGACCAGTACGGACCATCCACTACTTCTAGGTACCCCTGAGACTAAGACAATCAACTCCAGTTTGGATTTCACGTCACATATTTCCACCAAAACAGAGCCACTCAAAGAGGCCTTCACGCACCAAGTTGTTGTAAGTGATTCAAAGTCAATCTCTCTCATGTATTGAATCGGTTTTATTGATTGTGTGCAATGTCACTTCTCTCTCCAGGACGTGGCCTCCAACGGACTTAACGGCAGTCTCCGTGACGAACGCGTGACCATGAGGAACAAAGGTAGACAGCAGAACACACGATCAGAAAGGTTACTCGATTGATCTTGGCTACAGTTTGAGCACGGCGTACAGAATACCTCAGGATGAAACTTGCTGAACAAAGCTATAGGGACTTATTGAATACATTTGGATGTGCTGTAATGTGACGTGCATTTTCTTGTTCTTTCCTTTCTTTTTTCTCATGTAGAGTCAGAACCTATAGCTTTGAAAAACTTAAAACGAAGATCTGAGTTTTTTGAACAAGGTAAAATGTTGACAAAGTTGGTAAATAGAACATTATTATTCTTTTGTGTTCTTCAAGCTGTCTGAAGTCTCTTTTCTTTTTCCATCACGTCCCTCCGATTCTTACAAAGGCAAACTGTGTCTAGTGCATGTAAAGCAGTTCATTTCCAACTTAAATCCAATGTGTGGTTGTCTAGTCTGCGGGGCTCTTTCTGACCTTTATGCATTACACCTTTCTTCCTCTAGGGGTGCTGTTGCTGCTGCTCCTGTGGCCCTTGTCTTTCACAAAACCTGAGACACAGACATGCTGGACTCAGTTCCCTTTATCACGCACTTAAACGTCTCCAACTGTAAATATACTTTTGTGCAGCATGTCTTTGTCCACAAATCCCTCGTTTGCTTCTGTCGTGGGAACTCTTGCTGTGATGCATGACTCAGGACTACCGTGTCCATTGCATTTGTGCATGTTGTCTTTCTGGTTGCATTTTTTCTCTTAATTAACCAGTGTTCCTATTTGAAACTTGAATGCGATCTTGGGCAGTTCAGTATTGCAGATTTGAGAAATGCCACTGTAGTTGTAATGTTTAGATAAAATTATTAATAAATCAAAATGTATTGGATAAAGACAATCGCCTGAACCTCACGTTTAGCTTAGTTTGTGTGTTAATTGTGTATTTTTCTCTCTTCAAGGAGGATCAGAGCCTGTGATGCCAGATGTAAGTAGCAGACATTGTTCAATATTCAAAGTGTGACATATATTTACTTTTTGCACCCACCATGTACTGGAGTACTTTAAAGCTGGGGTTACCAAACTGTTTTCAATAATTATGATATATTTAGTTCATTCCAACAGAAAGAGTGTTGTAAAGGTAAAACATCGTTGGACAAATCTGACCACATCATGTTGTCTTCATCTTAAAAGGAAACATGTAACCTTTTGCATATTTTTAACTTTTCTGTCTGAGAAAACTGGCCTAAAGATGTGACAGAGGCCAGTGATGCAGGGGTGTGAACCAGACTGCTTTAAGAGCCAGGAACTAGTGACATTGACTTTACCCCTTCCTAGATCCCTGTTCCTCCGATAACTCCGTCCTCCAGCAGCCGGTGGTCCTGGGACCCAGAGGAGGAGAGAAAAAGACAAGAAAAATGGCAAAAAGAGCAAGAGCGCCTCCTACAGGTATAACTGTTACTTTTACATTAGTAGCCCAAAGAAAGAGAAAAGAATCATTTAATGGCCAAGCTGTTTCAAAATAATCAATATTTTGACATATTTTTGAGTTATTTTTGATGACTGCTACATTTGAGTAAACATTTTGAAGCTGAGATAGAGCTTGAGGTAAAAGATGGTTTTGAGTAATGTTCATGATATGTTGACATCTGTTCTGCTTATACTGTGTTTTCAATCGTATTGTTTTCATATTTGGTCGTCTGTTGTTACTCTATCTTCCTATATTTATAGGAGAAATATAAACGTGATCAAGAAAAACTGCAGGAGGAGTGGGTCAAAGCTCAAGAGGAGATAACAAGCACTCAAAGCCAGCAGGAGGTGAGTGTTTTTAAGAATCCTGAATGGTTCACAGTGGGACGTCATTTAGAAAACCAGACAGTGAATGGCTTAGGCACAGTAAACAATATGCTTGTGGCCTATCTTTCTCTTTCAAAAAGAGAACCAGGCTTAAAGCAGTTTTTGGCTCATGGAAAGTCGCAATATATTTCATATCTGGCTACTTGTCTCCTTATATGACGGCTCCCACTGGTCAGGCTGAGAGCAATCATTTGTATATTTTAATATATACAAAGCAAATATACATAAAAATAGTAAGATGAATTACATTTCTAGGTTGATAATTAGCATCTCACGCAACATCCATAAACCCAACGGGCCCAAAGAGGCAAGCGTCCATGAGTCATCGCATGAGCTTGTCTAAATATATGCAAATGGAGCAGTTAAATGTTATGCTGTAATTATGCCATCATTATATGCCGTCGTCAGATCCTGATGTTTTCATTTGCCTCCTTTCCCACTATAAAAATTCCAAGTGAAAGTGAAAGCAGAGCCTTGTTCAGTGATGTTGAAATAGAAGCACATGACAATCATGTTTCGCAATAAAAAGTCTGTGTGAAATTCCCGATGTCACATCAGGGCATGTGCTGAGTTGCTTAATAATTGATGCTGTTGATTCTCAGTACAGTAAAGGTCAATGCTTCCTCTTTTCTGTGGCAGAGCCTGGACGTGAACAACCGGCGCCCGGGCCCACACTCCCCCTTGTCTCCCGTCAGCCAACCCCTCACCTCTCTGTGGGAGGAGCAGGAGAAGATGAGGAAGGAAGAACTGGAGCGACGGAAGCAAGCAGAGGAACGAGAGCTTCAGCGTCTAAGAGAGGAGCGACTGAAGAGAGAGCAGCGAGAAGAGGAGGAGAGAAAGAGGAGAGAGGAGGAGGAGGAGAGGAGGAGAGAGGAAGAGGCCAGGAGAAGGAGAGAGGAGGCAGAAAGGAAGAGAGAGGAAGAGGAGAGGAGGAGGAGAGAGGAGGCAGAGAGGATGAGAGAGGAAGAGGAGAGGAGGAGAAGAGAGGAGGCAGAAGAGGCGCAGAAACGGATAGAGAAGGAAGAGAAGGAGAGGAGGAGGAGAGGTGAAGAGGAGAGGAGGAGTAGGGCAGAGGAAGCAGTAGAACAACAACGCCGGGAGAGGGAAAGAGCCCTGGAGATGCAGAAGCAGCAGCAGCAGCATCAGCAGTGGTCAGTCATGTCCCAAATGCATATTCAAACACAATCTGTACATGTAATATTGCATAACACAAGTCTGGAGTGGGCAGAGGGATATTCTAAAGACATCTCCTGCTGGTCAAGAAAGCAACTAAGACACAGACCAAAAGGCAATACAAATGAATACATCAATATACAACACTTTCATAATTCTACAAGCCCTGTCAAAGTAGCAGATTTCTACATGATCACCTATATCCAGGACACTTTCTATACAACAACCTAGCTTCCCACTAATCAGGGCTTTATTTAGATTCAGAGATGTATTTTATTTTCAGTAAAACCACATTGGAAAACATTTGCAAAAGTTCCCAGTGTGCACAAGAGAAGCACATAATTAAAAAGGTTAAAAGTACAGAAATTAATCAAACTAAAAAAAGTGCAGGAACATATACAGTAGGAACAATTTAGAATCAGAATCAGAGTTTAACAAGTAAAACCAGCCTAAACTCATAAACTCGACACATACACACATGAAATCAGTTTTAGCTTCATGTGCTAACCTGCTAGCGCTAATGCATCATCCCTGCCACTAATATGTGTTTTAACATCCTGCATGTTCTTCGTCGTCCATCCTGTGTATTTATCATCCTCTTCACCAAAGGGCTGGTGGCTTCCATGCCGAGCCCAGACCGACCTTTTCAGACAGGTTGGTACAAATGTGTGGGGGAAAGAAAGCTTTTTTATTTTAGTATTTATCATAGTTCAGGCACAGTACATATACATTCTCTTTGTCCAGTCTTTCGATTATCCTCTCTCTGTGGTAATTCAGCAGACGTTTTCTGAGCAAATCCTTTTTTTTGGCGTCTGTACTAAAACTCCCACTAACATCAGACTCACCGCTTCTATAAATAAACAACAGTTGTATGATTTCTGTATAAACCATTTACATCTAAAGCAGGCCCCACTGTTTAAATCATTTTTCTTTGTGTCACTTTTGGTTCCCGCTTTGTCTCGCTCCAGCTGAATTCCTTTTAGACGAATGTGTTGGCTACAGTATTGTTGACTGTTTTTATTTTTTTACTTTTATAGCAGGACAAGGTCAAAATCATCTCCTCAGCTTGATGAAGAAGACCGAGCTCGGCAGAGAGGTGAGTTTTTCTCGTTTTCAATTGGAAACCTTCAGTGCAGCATGCAGTGTTTACAGAAATAAACAGATTCTGTCTAACACAGGTCTTAGATGCATGCTTGTGGTATATAAGGCTTCTCTGGTTTAAAATATTGTATTCATCGTTTTCTAAAGGTAAAAACTGCAGAAAATAAGACCCTGCTAAAGTTCATGGTTGTTGCGTGTACAATATTTTGTTCAACTTAAATGTATGAATTGTATACGATAAATGCGCCTTGCTTATTCGGGGCGCAGGTGTGTCTGTGCAGCCAGGGGGCATGGCTCACTGGCTGCTGCAGGAGCGGGCGAGCGAGCGCTATAAACAGGCTCAGAGTCAAAGAGCAGCATCAGAGCTGGAGACGCAGAGGAGGAACATTCTGAATGTTATGAAATACAGACAGCCTGAGAGAGGTGGGCTTAAACCCAAGGAGACGGCACAAATCAAATAATGGCCTTCAGCACCACTCAATCTCCGTTGATTAGTTTGACAGAAAACTAATTAATCACCTGGCACCGCAAGAAATTACTTCGAGCTTGATTCAATAAGTCTTTTGAATCATTATTGTGTTTTGGAATTTTCACTAATTGCCCCTGCTTTGAAATCAATTATGAAATGAGTCAATGAAAATATTAGGGCAGTAGTGATTGACCAAAGAGATTATTGGTCGCCTTTTTGCATTGCATTGCATTTTTGTGATTTAAAGAAAGAATTAGTTGACTGAAAGACAAAAAAATAAGATTTACAACGTTTTACTTGAAGGGTGATCTTGTGTAACGCTGTACTTTGTATGCAGTGATGGGGACTACGGCGTCTCAGAGGGCTCAGCAGGCCGAGTCTCAGGCCGAGATGGATCGACAGCAGATCCTCAAAGAGATGAAGAAGAAGACGTCTCTGTTGACTGACAACAGCTGGATCCGACAGCGCTCCTCCACCACCAGCGGCGTAGAGGGCGAGGGCCCGTCAATGCGCAGGTATGAGGTGGACGAGCAGGGATAAACAGACTAACGGTGGTGGGGTGGTGTACCTCTTAACACATGAGAGTGGTGTTTGCTTTGCTTCATTTTGGCTGCCAGTCGGACCAGACAAAAAGACATCCGGGTGGCAGACAAACTGGTTGTACTAACTGCTGACATGCAACGCTTTGCAGAGGTGATTCTCTCAACAACCTGGATACCAACAACTACAACTCGTGGCGTTCATCTTGGACTCCCAGGACCAACTCTCAAATCCCTAATTACTCACGGCCTCAGTCTGCCATGTCGGGTAGCATTTCCTCATATGGTGGCTGGTCAGGGGGTCTTCCTCGCTCCTCCACTTTACCCTCTTCATCCTCTTCAAGCTCCCTGCGAGGTGGGATAGGAGCCTCAGCCCCCTGGTCTCAACAGACACCCTCCCCCTCACTGTCCCCAACACCCACCACGTCCCCAGAGCCGCTGCCTGACTCCCAGCAGAGTAACAGGTAAAGGGGACGTTGACGGAGATTCTAAAGCTTGGTTGTCTTCAAGGTTCTAAGTGGATTAAAACAGTAGATTGTTGAACCAGGCCAATTTTACAGTAGTTATTTAATTAATTTGCAATACATTCAACATGGCTTTAATTGGTCTCACGAGAGTTGCATATACCAGTTACGGTAGTCATCAACTCAATTTCATTTACTCTATTCTTTATGGAAACCACAATCTATAATCTTGTTCCATTTAGAACCTTCTGGGTGTTGCTTTCATTTGTAATATGTCCATCACATACATCCTTTAAAGTGCCTACGACAGCTTTTTGGATTTTTAGAATAAAAAATAATATAAGTGAGAGTTTGGCAGTAAAGCCGACAACAGGGAAATATGTTCAGATTTACAAGAAGTACATCAGAGTTTTAGAACTGATGACCTCACACTCGTCCTAAAGTTTGGCACAATTTACAACAAACACATTTTCTATCACACTACAATGATTTAACCAATGAAAGACAAACATCATCATTTCTCAGTACATAGCCGTTTTGGCCCAGTTTGTTAAATTCTGGAGTACTTTATTTTATTTGAAACCACAAAATATGTAAAAAATAATCCATGTAACTAGTTCCTTTTAATTTACATCTACAGCTTGTACATGTGTCCTAAGATAATGGGTGAGTGTGTACGACTCATATTTGACCTTTTCTGAATAAAAGTGTTAATGTTTTTTTAAATGGAAATACCCCCATGTCCGGCCTATTTATTACAAGCAGATTATCCAATGTCTTTCTGCTCTCTGATTTGGGTTGCCAGTTTGTTAGGTGAAATTTAGCTGGTTTTGGTTCTAATTTGGTTTTAATTCACAAACAAAATAGAATCACACAACAATAAGCAGTCTTGCGAAATACAGTTTGTTCTGTTTGTAAACCTCAGCAGGTGTATCGCATCAGTAACCAGTGCTTAGGAGCTAAAAACAGGAGGTAACAAAAGTTGGTTTACCACCGATAGTGTCCCTTTAAGTGAATGATGTCAGTATAGTGTTGTGAAAAGTGTGGCCTGTCATACGCACTCTAATGTATGTTTGAGTAACGATCCATCCAGTCCTGTGCTCAGCGTTAACATCACCGCTCCACGTTTTCTAATCCAGGTCAGTGAGTGGCAAGAAAATCTGTACATACTGTGACAGTCCGCTGGGGAAGGGCGCCGCCATGATCATCGAGAGCCTGGGCCTTTGTTATCATTTGACCTGTTTTAAGGTGAGACGCCGGATGCTATCAGGACCAAGGGAAATCTCGGCTGCGTCCAGTTTCTGACACATCATTCCTCCATCACTTTGTCCAGCTTCTCCTATCTCTGTTCGCTTCACTTGATGCTTTTCGTTCCCAGTCCTTGTCTTGATGTTTAAGTGTATCTTTCTCCTTTTCAGTCCAGATCCTTCACTTCTATTTGTCCTTCACTGCACTATTTCAAGTTATCTTTATGAAGCCAAGCACAACTTTTAACTTTGTTTCATGGGGGATTTTAGTGTTTCGATTGTGGGTCGGACCTCGGGGGGTCAGAAGCTGGCGCGGAGGTCAGAATACGAAATAAACACTTGTACTGCAACACCTGCTACGTGCGATGCAAAAGTAAGTGATTACATACAGTAACAGTAATACTCACATTTCACATGGTTTTAATTGTTGTTCTTGTTTGTTTCTCTAGCTAACCAGCCCACCGCCATGTGATGTGACCGTACTCCAACAAATTGATGAAGAAGCTACTTGTGATAATATCCCATAACGCTGAAGCCATAAGCAATAGCTCAGACATAACCGTCATTATTTTCGTGAGAGTTTACATTATGCATATTCATGCTTTTATCTAAAGGGTAAGCTTGCTAAGTTGTTATCGGCTTTACTGCTTAAGTATTAAAGATGTATACACTTTGTTTGCATGTTTCAGAGATTTTAGTCTGCTAACCATTCCATCGATAAATCACCTTATTATAATATCAAGTTTTACAGATGTTTTAAAATTAATTAGTTTACAAAAAGTTAGATTATCATGTCCGTTATCCATCTCCATAATGGTATTAATATTTTTATTGACCAAGATGTTGTAAAGTTTATGTGCCTTTTGTTTTAAACAGGGGAAAAAAGACTATTCTTGAAAAGTGTATTTAAAAAATATCCTTTGACTGTCTGCACTTGCTTTTTACTGATTAAGAAACGATTGTAACTGGTTTTTCATGTCCAAAATGTCATACTGAAAAAAGTGAGATTATTCATTTGTAAATAAAACAGCTAATGCTCTACTGTACAGTGACCTTTTTCATAACGTTACATAAGAGTTTTGCAGCGACATCTCACTTTGTGAAGCAATGTTTCTGTTGCCTCTAATCTCACATTCCTTCCCATCATTTCTGCCTGTGTCTGTCCCTCCTCTGCTTCATAATGAAAGGAATTTCAATGAGATTTTGTCTCAGGGTTCAGAGGACATGCCTGCTCTGCCTGCTCCAAAGCCAATTTGCCATGCATTTTTCATTTTGGCGTGCATACATTACATTTGATTACACTTTGATAAGCTATTTTCTAATGCATTCTTTCACTGTCTCACAAAACACTCCCTGCCTAAGCAGCTATGAATATTCATACAAGATTTGAGTAGAAATACTATCCTGAGTTTTAAAATGCTTTTGAAACAAGGTGAGGATGCCTCCGCTTCCCATAAGTAGAGGATGCATTCACTTGACGGATGGATTTAGGGAGGATTAAATTGGAGTTTTGAAAGGGGCACACATGTTGCCTCCAGGCAGCCACATTAAATATGGAGATCATTTGTATTTAGATCCAGCCTGCTGGGATAAGTGTTAATCCTAATGATGGAGGAGAAAACATACACAGAATACATTTTAACTAACGCAGACTCTTTTTCCTCTGCTATCTTATGTTAAGACGCAGAGCTAAAAGTGTAACTGTAAAATTGACAGACGGCAGGTTTACAGATTACTGTACACAAAGTGTTGGCAAGACAGTCCAGAACTATGTCTCTATTTAAAGCTTTGTAGTGTGGCGCTGCACTTGCAGGACTCCATGGAATTATAAAGGTCAACTTTCTGGAATATTGGAATATTCTTCACTAATACAGATTCCATAATGTGTAAGACAATATGAAGAAGAAGAAGGTTTATGGAGTTCCAAGCCCGCTTTCGAGGTAACATCTCAAATGAAAGAAAATAAATAAATATAATAATAATGCATATAGGGGATCAAGACTTTAGAGATCGATCACCGGTATGAATGACTTCATGGACAAATATTTGTATTATTCATAGATTCAAATAATCAACGTTGTTTGTGCCAATTAAGTGTTTAACTTTGTCATCTTTTCAAGATCATATTTATTTTCAATTTATTCAATTGATGATAAATGAAATTTCACTCCTGTTTCCGACGCTTAATACATTACTTTTAGAAGGCAGTCTCTGTCAGTGACCATGGAAACCAGGTGACGTGGGTGGGGCTAAGCAGGCTGCTCTCATTATTGATGATAGTCATGCTTTTTAGAATAAGGGGTGTGCAGTGGCACAGATTCAAAGTATTCTCCTGCAAGTTAAGTATTTGAAACAATATGGGATGAAGATGAGGACTTTATATACAACAGAAATTGAACAAAAATTCTGCTTAACAACAGGTGAGACAGCGCACCAAATATAGAAACAGTTTGTAATATCCACTACTTAAACAACAGTTTGTACAAATAAGTCTTTAGTTTACTCTTAAAAGAACTGAACGTGGGCGCATTATTTATGATTCTTCTACTTTACTCAGGAAACAGTGACAATGTCCAATCTGAGGATCTGAAGTTGAACACAGGTTTATGGGGCAGAAAAAAAACTGTAAAAAATATATAAAAATTCCAGATTCTGAAGACAAGCATGTCCGGAATTTACCCTCTGATGGTTTTCACCTTTGTGCAAATTCATATATTTGTTTCAATTCATGAATGTCACATTGTTTTTTAATGTTTGCAACTGTGCTAGATACCATCAATCTGGAACCCATGAATAAATATAGTCCACAGACCTGTTGCTATGGCTTTTGAGCACTTGCGTTATAGAATATTATCGTAAACCACGAATGTGCTGAAGTGAGATCCCATTATTGCATTGATGGTCTAAACTAAAAAATAAAGCCTTTTATTTGCACTGAGGCCAATAGTCCAGCGTATAATGGCCTTCATTTAACTGCAAACAATTAAAAAAGGTTAATGGAAGATCATTGATTTATGAGTCGATATACAACCAAAATAATTCTGAAGATCACAGCCCATGGTCTGAAATAGAACTGTGAAATGAAAGCATTGATTTATTGTCGTTTTTAATTAAAAATCTATCCAAGACACAATAAACCACCACAAATACATTACCCGGCAACAGCATGTCTCTCTGCTGTGTGAGGGAAGGTCTATTGTGGGAATTATTCTTGAACTGTTCACATTACTTGATGTCCTATTTTCCAAACACTGTAAAATCTGAAATGTTACCTACAGTTGTGTGTGTCCCCCATTCACAACGTCAGGGGTCATTTGGGCTTTTTGAACTTCTACAGTGTACATTGTGTAAGCAGGCCATTTTCTTTCACATTATTTTTCTTTTTTTAAATAAGCTATTTAGTTTGACCCAGTCCAAATGAAATGTCATGTTGTATAGAAAGACTTCCATCTCTGAGCGCTGATGACAAACTGTGGGAGTGAGAGAGTGCGTCACCTATGGAATGGGGGGTAATGGAGTGCAGATGGACAGATTAGTGCCTTTCTTTGCCACGGACATAAAAACTAAACTTGTACACAGATATTGATCGTTGACCTTTGGTTCAATGAGGAAACGATCAGCTCCGATCTCTGCTTGTCCTCATTACAGATGGGGCTGACTCTAATCCCTGCCTCACAAAAGGGCACCCACAACGCAGTCAATCTTGGAGCATGCGGCGCCTTCCAAAAATAAAATAGTGATTGAATATTGAAGCCTGGTTTGTGTGCTGTTTGGTTATGCAGGTGCGTCAGTTGGCTGGGATACATGTTGACACACACAATAGGAACCATGATTTCTAATTTAAATCGCAGCCTGATTGGAAAGTGCTGAAAACCGATTTATTTTGCCTCCTCTGCACTTTCAGACCCATGTTGCAATCAAGAAAATGTGTTTAATTCGTCTGTGAGAACCCAAGCACTCTATGCAATTAATTTTTTTAAGAGACCTAGGGAAAAATTTGTAACAGTTTAAAGTTTTGATTCAAAATGTTGATCTATAAAAAGTATTTAAGTGATTTTCACATCAGGGGAATTTTTCAGGTAATTCTCACATTGGGGCAATAGTCCTCATAATAGACCTGTTGATTAACTATAACCAGTCACATCTCATCAATCATAGTCACCTTTGTGATGCATAATACAGAACTACAGAACTAAATACAGGAAAATTCTGCATCAAAATAACCACATAAAAAGTAAGTAAGTAATGTTTATTTATATAGCAATTATTTACTGACCAAGGTCACCCAAAACGCTTTAAAATGTTCCGAAATCAGATATTTTTCCATTCACACACAGTGATGATGGCAGCAAGACACAAAACCCACTGAGCCCCCAACCAACACCATCCATTCAATCAATCGCTTATCACATTCACACCAATTGTTCATGTTTTAGCAGGAACATGTAAACTCCACTCAGAAAGACCCTGTTCTGACCAGGATTTGAACCCAGAACCTTCTTGCTGAGAAGCGAGATGAGTAGTGTAAATGTTGTTGGGCTCCTGTGTTTTTTGCTCTGCCTCCCCACCCCCTCTCTATTTTTCAGGGATTATGAGTGACAGGGGGCGTGGCCGTCTCATCTGCTGCTGAGAGGCATTCATATCAGCATCATTATCACCCTGAATATGATCTGCTGGAGTAGATGATTCCATGTCACAACTTAGAGAACGCAATGCGTACAGTTAATGGCCAACTTTCTTTTTGCTTACCAATTTAACATCCAGCCTGCCAGCCAGCTGCTGTCTCCACTGCCTGCTTGCCTTTGTTTTTTATTAAATCTCCTTTTGGTGGTAAATACAACCACATCTCTGTCTCTGCTTTTGGGTCCAACACTCTACTGTGACAAATATTGTGTTACAAGGTATTAGTATTAGATAGCAATATGGCCTACGTGCAGGACTGTACAAGGACTCCATGTTATGACTATGATGTGACTGTCTCTTTGTGACACGTATGTCTTTCGATGTGTGACGTGACAATGACTATATAAACTGTGTACTGCCTTTATTCTGTCTGAGAGAAAGAAACAGAGTAAACCATTGGAACTTGAGAGAAACTTAAATAAACTTCCAGAGTTTGGCACACCACGATCCGTCTCTGTCTGCTAAATCCTGACAAAACCTTAAACCATAGATACAAATCATTTCAGTATAGACAGGGGGAAATATGGTAGTCAACCAATGCTAAACTAATCCTAAAAATAAACCTCTACTCTTTGATCTTTTGTACTACTGAAATTATAAGACGAAAAAACGTATTATTCAATCAGTAAAGTGACCCAGAATCGTAAACTCCAACCAAAGTAGATAAAACATGAATTGCCATAACACTATTAGGCAGGGAAGCAGAGAATCGCAGTTTTTATAGTTTTGCAGCGTGAAGGAGAAGAAAGCCAGTGGACGTGTTTCATAGGCTCGTGCTGAGATGATAAG